CTAGACTCTGTTTTTCTCACTTACTGTGCTTTGGTGATCCCGTTTTTATCCCGAGTCACCGCTCATTTCCAGGGACCAGGAGGGTGGCCGTTGAGCTTACCTGGTGTCGCACATGCCGCCTGTGCTGGCTCCTTCCTTGAAAGGAGCACAGAGGCGCCTCTCGAGGTCTGACTTCTTCAAGGGCCAATTTAAGTCCTGCCTCGCCAGGAGGTCCTCGCGGAATTGCCGTCCTGACCGTCTCCTGACCGTCTCCTGTCCTTCTCCCCATTCTTCCTCTGCATGATGTGCCAGAAAGCAAGTGCCAGCCTCGCAGAGAGGTGCGTCCTCTCTCGGAGCTTCAGGCTGGGAAAGGGGGAGTGACTTATGCCCCACCCGCTGCTGTTCGGAGAGTTAAGCGAGCCCCTATGTGAAGCTCCTTACAAACTCTAAGATGCTGCCCCAATTTGAGGAACTGCTGTTATTACTGCCAGTACTTCTGGTTAATACTTATCACTGCCTCAATATGGAGTTAATTATTCATGTTGGTCCCTTCCTCCTAACAGTCAGGGACCATGTACTTCTATCTGTGTCTTCCTCAGAGCCCCTGGGTTAATTCCTAGCAAGTGTTCTTTGAGAGCTCAAAACATATTTGTGCTCAACAATATTTGTCAGATTTGCATTTTGCATGTTAGGTTGACAGCTTAGCCCTGGAGCAGCGGCCTGGACCCAGCCTCCCTGAGCATTAGGTGTATAGTGGGAGGGAGGCACCCACACCCCCAGGAAGGCACGAGGTGGGGGTAGGTGGGCCTGGAGGACTGGTTTATGACCACTTGTGTCTGGAGTGGTGGTATCAGTGAGGCCTCCTTGGACTTGTGGTCCAAGAAGGAAAGATCAGGCACTGGTGGGCACCCACAGCCATGCTAAGGGTTGGGGGGGACCCCCCTCTCTGCAAAGGGAGGAGCCCTAGTGATAAACCTGGGCTTCTTCCAACCAGCCATAAGCCATGTGCTCAGAGACCACCTGCTACATCGGAAGGAGGCACTGTGCATGCTTCAAAGAAGAATCGTATAACTTTGGTTCTGGAAGGAAGCCTGGGACCCATTTAGTCCTCTCCTTCCCTTTCTTGGTTGGGAAACTAAAACCTGGAGAGACTGAGCCACTTCCCCCAATCTCACGGCACTGTGAGGGGCTATGCAGGGTCAGCCTTGAGTCTCCTGACCCCCTGCACTCTCCTTTCTAATACAGCATCCCTGTCTGAGGGAGAGGAAGGAGAAGTGACACTTACTGACCACCTGCTGTGCGCTAGACATGTAGTGGGCCCTTTACCCTCCTAGTGCGCCTTCAAGACGGATTTTTGTGGGGAGACGGCATAGCGGGGAGGTTCAATCCCAACTCCGCTGCTTCCTACCCTCTGCACAAGGGCCAGTTACTTCCCTCTGTGCCTCATCTGTAAACTGCGGCTCCTACGCATTGTTTTACGGGTCTTCACGAGGGCTAAATGAGGATGGTTGTAATGTAAAGTGCTTGGCACCGTGCCTGGCACGTGGTCAGTGTGTAGTAAATGCTCACAGTTGTCATCTTGTTTACAGATGAGGAAGGCGGAGCTCAGAGATGTTGATTAACCTGCCCAAAGTCATATAACTAGCATGGCAGGATTTGAACCCACGTTCCTCTGATTCCCAAGTCTGCGCGTGCTCCACTGTAGTCCAGGGGGATGGAGAGAGGGACAGGAGCTTTCCTTCCAGCAGAGGGGAGAGCCTGGCTCGGTGGCCGGCACGTATAGGCACGCACCCATTCAGGAGGTGCTTGTCAAGCAAATGCTCCCGACTGCAGCTGAAGCAGCTCAGCTGGACCTGCGGGGAGATCGCCTAGTGCAGCTGTGTGTGGTCATGAGCGTCACTTTAGGGAACGTTCCCCGTGGTGTGGTACGCTGAGGGAGTGATTTCTCTCAACTCGGGATATTTGTGCCTGGCAGGAATTTGAGGATTCAGGCCGTATCCCATGTTTCAAGGCCTGTTTTCTGAAGAGGTTGTTACAGACTCCCAAGTCCTAAGGTAGATTTCCGAAGAGAATGGCTTGTTTTGTTCTTCCTTGTGAAAAATTTTATTGCCTTTCAGACAATTTCTTGAAAAATTAGAATTACCTCATATGTTCAGCTGGGGTGGTGTAAAGCATTTCCCCTGTGTCCTGGGGCCGGTTGGTAAGCGGCCTGTGGTTTTCTTGGTCCCCCCCGCCCCCCGCCATGGCCCTGGATCACCTCTCAGAAGAGCAGCTGGTTCTCCTGGCCAGAAAGCTTTTGCCAAAGCAGGTGAGAAGTTTGCTTGCTGGCTCCCTAGACACCTGACCAGGAAGAGCCAGGGTTTCCACTTTAATTTCCGAACCACAGGAGCAGCTCTTTGTGGTTGGTGGTTCCCATCCCTGCTCCTGGAGTGGAGCCCTGGCTCCATAGCCCCCATTTCTTGTGCACTGAAGGCCTGTGATCTGTGTGGCTGTGGCTCAGTGGCAGCACTGGCCTTGGCAAAGGCTCTGAGTGTCCTTGGTCTTGCAGTTCTGTTTCTTGTTCATCCATCTTTTCAACACTCAGAGCCACAATCCCCTCCAGGGAGCTCAGAAGGTTTCTCAGGGCCTTATTCTTAGACGGCAGTTGAGCTGTGTTTATCTCAAGGTTCCCAGGTTGGAATAAATACAAACCTTAGGTTATTACTTCAGAGTCTAAGCAGAAATCTCACTTTCTTTTTTTTTTTCTCCCCCAAAGCCCCAGTAGATAGTTGCATGTCATAGTTGCACATCCTTCTAGTTGCTGTATGTGGGACGCGGCCTCAGCATGGCTGGAGAAGCGGTGTGTCGGTGCGCGCCCGGGATCCGAACCCGGGCCGCCAGCAGCGGAGCGCGTGCACTCAACCGCCAAGCCGCGGGGCCGGCCCCAGAAATCTCACTTTCATAGTTACCTTGTTTCCTCTCCTTCTTCCCTCCTGATATTTATTGACAGTCTACCACGTGCCAGGTACTAGTCTGTGCACATACACGGCCGCATCTCACACCTACACACAATCACACCGTGATCCAGGTCCTTTGGAAGCATGGGGATAGTTATGGGAAAAAAATTACATGAATTTCAACAACTTTAACACTAAGGAAGAAGTTACAAGGACCCTCCGAGCAATGTAAGGAGCTGTAGGGGTTTGGAGAACAGGGAGACCCGGCCCTTCGGGTCAAGGAAGGTTCTGAAGGTGCACGTGTTTGGGCTGGGCATTGAGTGATGGGCAGGAAGCATGCAGGTGGGGCATAAGTGAGGAAGAGTATGAGTCTGGGGGCAGGCGGGTAGTGGGAGTGGGCAGGGGGAGTCCAGTTGGGAATTGGGCGTAGCGGAATGAGGAGCTGGAGATGAGGGTGAGGGGGTTGGGGGCAGCCTTGAATGCCGTGCTTGTGGGTCTAGACGTCATTCTCATGCTAGAATTGAAGGCATCACTTTCTGTATCTACTTTGGACTATTAGCCTCTCCGTTTCTCAGGTTTCCCAAAGGAAGGTTTTGCTGTCCTGATTGACTGGTTGTTGTGTCGGTTACACTGAGGGACCCGTCTGGATGACAGAGAAAGGCAAGAGCATCCCTGGTTCTCTGTACCTGTTAGTTCCCTTCCTGTGCCTTTAGAAACAAGTACATATAGAGCACAGTGTTGGACATTTTTCTGGTCCCTTATCTGTTTGCTCTGGTGCAGAGGGGATAGGGTTCTGGAAGGTTAAACCAACCTGTACCTGTCTTGTGGCTACACCATAAGATTTGTCCTTATTTCTGAAGTCTTTGAAGGAGTATTAAATTTGCTTAAAATAAAATAAATCAGAGAATCCAGTGGGTTTCTTCAATGTAAATGCCTCATTTCTCTGTGGAGATGTTTTGAACCTTCAGTAACTGATATTATTTTGAACACTAGCCAGAGGCCACAGAAATCCTCTGTTTAAAAGCAGAGCTTACCCACAGAACTGCATGGGCCTCATGGCCTGAATCAAAATGACCTTTGTAAACTTGTCAGCCCAAGATTATGATAAAATAAATTAGTCTCAGCTTCAGGGTCTCCCTTACCAAAGGACCTTGTACTATAGAAACCAGTCATACCAGTGGGCAGAGCAAGGTCTTAAGGAAGACCTTGAGAATAGTGAGTTTAAACAAGAACGGTCATCAGATAGAACAGCCAAATCATTGCATTTCTCTTATATTAGCTGACAGTTCTAATGAGTACAGTTTGAATAGACATTACAGTTCATAAAGGACTTTTCACACATATTCTCTGGATTTTAATAGTTCACAGGAGGTGGTTTTGTCATTGCCACTGCATAGACAGCCTTCCCAGAGCCTCACAGCTGATGGGAACCTCTGTCAACAACCAGAAAGGCCTGTTCTGGCCTCGGGCAGCAGGACACAGACACCGAGTTAGCCTCATTCTGGCGAAGTGTCTCCACTCCACTGGCTACTAAACCCACAGAATTCACTTGCCACTATCCTGGCTGTGCATTATGGAGCTCTCTCAATTCCTTTTCAGCAACTCATGGGATTGACTGACTTGATTCCAGGATGGAATTTTGGACTCTCAGGAGGTCTCCCAATGTATCCAGTCTCAGTGATCTAATTGCTTTGAGATTCTATAACTGGCCAGCACCAATCACAGGAAATAGGGGCATACCAAATTATTGCAGGTACTTGATCAGTGTAGACTGTTGAATGGGACGGTTCTCGTCCTTTAAAGTTTGCTCTATGTATAGGCTTTAAAATATGCCCCTAAGCAAGTTCAATCTTCCAGGCTTGCCTGGGCCCATCTCTATGACCAAGTCTTCTTGTTTCTTCTTCTGTTGGAGTCAAGGCCGTCCTGATCCCTGGGCCAGCATAAGATGGTGGGCACGTTTGCCCTGCGGAATTCTCTGGTTGGTGGTACAGGACACGAATGGTCAGAGTTTTGATGAATTGTGTATTATTTGAAGAAGACTTGGGAGGTAAGTTGGAGACTTTCATGGTCTGTTTCCTCCTCCAGGTTTCTCTGGGAATTGTGTTGGCTGTGGAAAGAAGGGCTTCTGTTACTTCACGGAATTCTCCAATCACATAAATCTTAAGTTGACCACTCAGCCCAAGAAGCAGAAACACTTGAAGTATTATCTGGTCCGCAACGCACAGGGGGCTCTAACCAAAGGACCTCTCATTTGTTGGAAAGGCTCAGGTGAGCGGTTCAGTCTGAAGCAGGTGGGGTATGTGAAGGGGGTGTGTGTGTGAAGGGGGTGGGGTGTGTGAAGGGGGTGGGGTGTGTGAAAGGGGTATGTGTGTGAAGGGGGTGGGGTGTGTGTGAGGGGGTGGGGTGTATGAAGGGTGTGTGTGTGAAGGGGGTGGGGTGTGTGAAGGGGGTGGGGTGTGTGAAGGGGGCGTGTGTGTGAAGGGGGTGGGGTGTGTGAAAGGGGTATGTGTGTGAAGGGGGTGGGGTGTGTGAGGGGTGTGGGGTGTGTGGGGGGGTGTGTTTGTGAAGAGGGGTGGGGGACATGAAGAGGGTGGGGTGTGTGAGGGGGTGGAGGATGGGAGGAGAGTGGGGTGGGAAGAGGGTTGGGGGTTGGATGCCAGAGGCCCAGCCTCAAGTCCTCACTGGGATACACCTCACTTGACCAGTTGTGAAGGGACGTGTCCTAGAAGGGTTCTCAGCGAGATGACGAGGAGAGCCAGCCTCTTGTCCCTCAGTTATCTGTGTTGGTTCACTTCTGGTCACCTGGCGTCTCCCAGCCAGCTTCTGAGTAGAAGGAAAGGGCTTCAGGAGGGGCTGGCTCCAGCAGTCCTCCTACCCCCTCCCATTGCTCTTTTCCTTCCTCTCTCACTTTCTGACATCATTCAGTAAATATTTCTTGAGCTCCTACTACGTGCCAGTCATCTTCTATGTCTGGGAGGCAGTGGTTCCTCCCCTTGTGGCACCAGTGAAGGGTCTTTGACCACTTGCTGTGACCAAGCACCTCCCAGGTTAGATACGCCACTGGGAGTTAATCTTCCCGACAGGGTGACTTAAGGGATAGAGGAAGGCATTGGCCATTCCTTTACCTTTGAGAAGTGCTCTGTTCTTTCCGTGGACTTTAAGGGCAGTGATTGGATGACTCATTTGTATCATCTGTTTCTCTTTTTTCCTCAAATTCTCAATATTGCTCCCACTCCTGACAATCACACGGCTCCCCCTGCCCTTGGCGTGGAGCGCTGGGGGTAGTTGTACCCCCTCCTCACCCGGCTACACTGAAGCAAAGAGTAGGATGGTCTTGGCATTGTTACAGCTAGCTACGTGTCTGGCTCTCCTGTAGGACAAATTCCAGTCCAGGAGCTCATTTCGTAACTGTTGGGGAGTAGTGAACTGGTTTTCACCCAGGCATCTTGCCCCCTTAGAGTTCAGAAGCCGGCAGACCCCCGCCAGTACTTGTTCCAGTTCTCTCTTCCCGCCATTGGAGAGCTCCGGGCCTCTGGCGACCTTCTCCAGCGAGCCCATTCCTGGAACGAACCCGAGCGTCCCGATGGGAGCCCAGCAGGCAGGTGAGGCGATGGAGAAGCACCAAGGAGCTCCGTCCACAGGCCTGGTGTGCCACCAGCACGGCTGCTTGATTCTGCACCACACGTTCTGCAAGATAAATCAGGGGCATGCTCTGTATGTTCTCTTTTTCTACAATGCCTTACATTTCATCTTGAGTTTGTAATAGTTTCCAACACAGAATGCTGTTTTTAATTTGGAAAGAGGTTCTGCATCCCTGTTTGCTATGTAACCTGGTCCCCTTGTTGTTGGGATGGTGTCTTGGGGTCCCTCTGCACCCCCCAGTTCATAGGATAGAGCTTGCTCTGTAACGGGCACTAAGTCAGTGCTGGAACTGAATTCCCAGAAGGGCCAGCTAAGACTAGAGAGCACCATTTATCCTGTGCTCAGTGTGCCCCAACTCGATGTATATCTCATGGAATCCTGACAGCCACCCTGTGAGCAGGCTTTAGTTTCCCATTGCGCTGACTGGGAAGTCGAGGCTCATAGTTGGTTGGCTAGGATCTCATGGGCAGTGGGAGGGAGGTGCCAAGATTTGACAGCAGGTATTTCTGGTTCACATGTTTGGTTTGTTGCTTTTCTGAATAGACCCGATAAGCCTGATAGCTGTTATCTCAGGAGAGAGCAGCTTTCTCAAGGACTCTGGAAGGTTGGTTGTTTCCATTCCTCCTGCCCAGAGGGTCTGTAGAGGGGGCCTGAGAGGGGAGCCAGGGCCCTTACCCACCCCACGCCAGCTCATCACATCGATAATGAGAGGTTGTGCCTGGGTTGGGAACATGCTCTCCTCCAGAGGCACTGAGCCTCCCCTTCCATGTGGTATCTGCTGTTGTCCTCACTGTGCCCAGGCTCCCTGGGACCTCTGCCACCATGGCGACTGGAGAGTCCGTGATTTTCACCATCAGTGTACCTGGGTGTAAGTTCCAGCCCTGCCTCCTTCTAGCTGAGCGATTTGGGGCAACTCATTTCAACTCTTTGAATCTCTGTTTCTTCATCTGTAAAGTTGGAGAACATTTTTTCTGTCTTAATTTGCAGGGTGGTTATAAGAATTAAGATTTGGTAATAGCAAATACTTAGTGGATACTGCCTGTCAGGCACTGTTCTCTGCACTTGACCTGTTAACGCATGTCAGCCTCACAGTGGCTTCCTCATTACCCCCTTTTGTGGATGAGAAAGTTGAAGCATTGGGAGGTTAAGTAAGTTAAGTGAGGTTACACAGCCATTCAGCAGCAGAGCTGGGATTCAGACACAAGCCCTCAGGCTTCAGAACCACGCTCTTAACCTCCTCCCATGCTGCCTCACCCAACTGTTGTGCTACTCCCAACTCTGGAGGGCCTTCCGGACCGTTCTGGCTGATGTGGGCGACTTGAGCAGTGCAGTGAGCCTCAGGAGAGCAGAACCCACAGTTGCCCCAGAATTATCCTCAGAGCGGGGGAGCCCCAGGCCCTGTGAGCAGCCTGGACCCAGGCGATTGCACACCTGACAGCTTTCCTGAGCGTGTGCGAGGGTGAGAGGGAAGGTGGAACGGTTGCGGGGCGCTCCTGGAATTCAGGGAGCCCCACTGCCACTCGGGTCCCTCTGGTCCGTCTTCACCCAGGGGGCGCTCGCTGAAGTGGGAGAGTGTGTGTGTGTGTGTGTGTGTGTGTGTGTGTGTGTGTTTTCTCAGTGGAGCAGAATCACTCTGTCAGGAGTTCTGACCTCCCGACATTACTTGTCAGTGAAACGCTGGGTTGTAAAGATGGAAGATAAGTAATTTCCTGCTTGCCGGGTTCACAGAGCACCCTGTGAACTGACCTTGCTCTCTCTCTCTCCTTGTTTTCAGGACCGGCCTCCGATCACCCCTCACTGACCGCTGCCGTGGGTCCAGCTGTTTTCAATGGCAGAGATTCCGCAAAGCACCCACAGCTGGTGAAGAACAACCTCTCGGCCGTGCCGCGGCCCTCGGCGTTAGGTGGCCTGCCTCTCCGGGGGTCTTTTCTCTGGGCTGAGGTGTTGGGGGGGACGTGGGAGCTACCATGCAGGAGCCACCAAGCCTCCTGGGGTCACAGTGGCTTGGAATGCGAGTCAGGCCAGGTCAGCAGGTGCCTCCTGAGTCGGCGGGGCTGTGCCCAGGCCCTGGTGCTGGGTGGGGGTTGTGGCTTCGGCCACACGTGTGTCTGCTGAGAAGCTGTAGGAACCTGTTGTGAGGCAGGTGACCTGTCTCATTGTGGGCCATGCATCAGGAGGGCTATAGAGTTCTGGAGAAATAGGGGGCAATGTGGTGTCATGGGAAGAATGTGGGTTCCAGAATCAGATAACTATGAATCCAAAACCCAACTCTGCCCCTTATTAGTCGATGGATCTTGGACAAGTCTTCTGGCTAAATGTTCCCTCATCTGGAAATAAGAAGTCTGCTCTGAGGGCTGTTGAGAGGATCAGATGAGGTGCTGTATGGAAATTCAGGGCACACCTGGCAGCCCACTAAGGAGCACCATTATTGCCACCCACATCAGCATCATCATTGAGCTGGTCTCTTCAGGGAGGGCTTCCTGGTGAAGGTGACAACTGAGCTGCAGCTTACAGTTGGGGAAACATTAATTAGAGATGATATGGGAAGAAGAGGGATGAGGAGGTGAGGATCCAAAAGAGAAAGAGATGTGTGAAGGGGTTAAGCAGACCGCCTGCTAGAGAGGAGGTTGAGGGTTGAGGAAGAGTTGGAGAGGCAGGGCAGCCGGGCCCAGCTCTCTGACTCTCAGTTCAGTGCTCTCCTCTCCATGCTCACCCAGGGCCATTTAAGAAGCTGGTCTTCTCTCTCTCCTTCCTCCTTCATGCACACAGCCAAACGGAATTTTAGGATCCAAAACTATCAGACTGGCAGAGCCTTAGCAACTGTCTGGTCAAACACTGTTTTGTGGAGGAGGAAAGTGAGGCCCAGAGAGGCCGCCCAGGCCTAGAGTCCAGGCTTCCCTGCTTCCATTACACGGCCAGTGGAGGATGACTTCCCTGGTGGAAATCTTGTGAACTCTGCCTCTTAGTTGGAGGAACAATGTATTTTCTGAATTGAATCTGAGACTTCCCAGTCCTCACTGGCATGTCCATTCTGGAGTCTGAGGTCAAGCCTTTGTCACTCCCCCAGCGTGAGGAACCCCAGACAGGTGCCCTCTTTTCTTCCTATGACTGTTTTCTTCTCGGCTAGGTGCCAAATTTTGGGGTGGCCTTGTGTCTGAGGAGCTGGGCCTCTGGGGATGGTGATGGGAGGCCTGTGCTGTTGATGCCTCCCTTCCCTGCTCTGAGGTCTGTGCAGTCCAGCCTTGACCCCAAACAGGAGGGAATGAGGGCCTCCGTTGGCCTGTGAAGTTGGCTCTAGGAAGCCAGGCTGGGGAGCCCCCTTCTGTGGTGGATGAACACATTTCCCTTGGAGGGGTGTGGGAAATAGCTCCCAGTTCCTGAGCATGGCACTTAAGCCCTCTGGAATATGACCCCAAGAAACCCGTTGAACCTCACTCATTCCATGCTGTTTCTGTTCAAGAATTCCTTGCTCTGGCTGCACTAGACAGTTCAGTGCCCTCCTCCTCCTGTCTCCACACCCTGGTCATTCATCTGTGCTCTTGAAGAGCTTTCCCCACTCACCTGCTGAACCTGCTTTGCTCAGGTGTCACCTCCTCCCTGCGACCCCCACGTGTCAGAGCCTCTGTTCCACGGCCATTTGTGTCTGTTGGGTGGTGAAGTTCCTGAGAGCAGGTTGGTTGTCATATGATTCCCTGAGCCTTGGCACCCGGCTGCCACGGAGCCCGCCACAGAGGGGCTCATCAGACACTGGCTGAATAGAGCTGCATTAAGAGCACAGCTGAAGAGTCTGAGGTCCTGCGCCTGCCTTCCTTCGCTGGGGAGAGCTGAAATCAATTTTAAGAAACCGATCTGAAACTACAAGGAGTGTTTCATGAGGGCTGAGGACCCTAGCTCAGTGGTTCTCAATGGAAAAGTGCTGCCCCTGCTTGGGGGCTGGAGAGGGTGGTGGTAGAGAATGTGCAGGATCCTTTTTTGGTTTTCCCCACTTTGGTGGGGGGTGGGGGCGGTCACAGCACTAAGCATCCTGCAATGAGTGGGCTACATAATGAAGAACTGTCTCACTCAAAACGCCAAATAGTGGCCCCCCCCCAGACACTGTAAGAAGTAGTTGGTCCACATTGGTACCACAGGGGCAGCTCTTGGCATCATTTTGGGAGGTTCATGAGCTTAGAGGCCACTTAGGGGCAGTTAGGGTTAGCTTCCCAAAGGGAGAAAGTATCTGTAGATCTTCCATCCTTAGCGCCAAGGCCCAGTCTGCCTTTTGGTGGTTTCATATGGATTTTAGAGGAGCTGGTGTCTTCGTCTTTGTGGGAGCTCTTTCACTGGCACATGGGGACAGACTGTTAGCGAACCAAGTGGGCTTGCCCTGATGAGTTAAATAAGACTCTACACCAGTGGAAGTTGTCTCACAAAGTAAAGTGTATTTGCAGCAAATAGGAGGCCATGAGGAATCATTTCCAAAGTCATGGCCTCCCCGAACAAAGGGAAGCAGGAACTTTTATTTGGTTGGGGAATGAATATTCAAAAGGGAGAGGCGGGTATTCGCTTGCACAGGCTCAGTTGGAGAACATGCTTCCATATAATAAGGCCTAAGCTCCTCCTGGAGAGATCTTTGCATTAAAAATAAGGCAAAGGTCATGAGCATAGCTCTTGTGGTGAGGCTTGGTCAGTTTCAGGATGGTTGGTGTTTACATCTCCTTAACATACAAAGGGAAAAGAAACAACTTCAGCTAATTGCTTCCAAACCCACCTTTGGGTTTCTCAAGGTACCCAGTTGTGACAAGATGTGGTCTGAACAGAACAAGGATAACAGTAGCTGCCTCAGAGGTTGTGAGAGGGTCGAAAGAGCCCACCTGTTTGAAAGCTCTTAGTAAACGTAGTATTTTGTTTTTAACTCTTTATTCACTTTAATTTTCAATCAGTCTAAAGAAGAGGTGAAAATAATTTTGGATTCCTTTTAAGAGCCTCCAAAGCACATAATTCTCAAACTGCAGCACTGAGTGAGCATAGCCAGGGGTGCTTGTGAACCTTTGTGTTCGTTACTCTCATCTCCAGAGATCTGATTTTGTAGGTCGAGGTGGGGCCCAGGAGTGGACACTTTTGACAAGTCCCTGCTGGTTCTGTCCAGTTCCTTCTGAGGACAAACTTAGAGAAATGTTGCTCTAAACGGTGGTTCTTAACCCTGATTGTGCCCTGGAATCATCAGGGAGCTCGGGGGTCATCAGGATGCCTGGGCCCCACCCCGATGCTGGGGTTCTAGTGTACTTGGGATGGGGTTACATCCAGGCATAGAGAATTATAAGTTTCCCAGATGAGTTTAATGTGCAGTCACCGTTGAACATGTAGCTCTAAGTGTAGGGGGAGTTTTGTGTCAGATTGGTCAAAAAAATATGGTAACCAATTCTTGGTATTTTGAATAATCCACAAACATAGCATGAGTCATGCACATGCTGTTATCTAGAGTGGGCGGGGATGACTCATCAACAGCAGTGGGTACCAGCTTCTGTTCTCTTGATGTTTTTTGTCTGAAATGAGCTTTCAGGGCTAGGAGGGGGAGAGGAGCACGGGTGGATCAGTACTGCCCCCAAGTGGTGAAACTGTGGTGAAACTTGTCTACAGAAACACATATTAATATATTGGAATCTGTAGATGGAGATGATCATGGTGATGATGTGGGTTTTGGTGGCTACCATTTATTGGACTCAAACTCTGTGCTTTACATATGTTCTCTTTAGTCTCAATTAAACCAACTTTCAGAGTAGGTTTTATTTTCCCATTTTAAAGATGAAGGAGTTGGGGGCTGGTTCGGGGGTGTAGTGGTTAAGTGCGCGCGCTCCACTGCGGCGGCCCAAGGGTTAGCAGGTTCGGATCCTGGGTGCGCACCGACGCACTGCCTGTCAAGCCATGCTGTGGCGGCGTCCCATATATAAAGTAGAGGAGGATGAGCATGGATGTTAGCCCAGGGCCAGTCTTCCTCGGCAAATAGAGGATGATTGGCATGGATGTTAGCTCAGGGCCAGTGTTCCTCACAAAATAATAAAAAAAAAAAGATGAAGGAGCGACGGCTCAGAGACAGCTCAGATTCTTGCACAACTTTAGAATGAAACATTTCCGAAGATTGACAGGATATTTCCTTATGCCTAGACACTTTGCTAGATGCTAAAAGCCATTGTAAAACTGTGATTTTAAAAATATATATAGCAACTAAGTATACTCCAAGTCAGAAGAATGTTTTATTGAAGCTCATCCCTAGTGACAGCCTAATTTATACTCTGAATGTTGTCTAGGTATCTTATCAAACTCCGGGCCCCCCAAAAAACGCCACAAAGGGTGGTCTCCAGAATCTCCATCAGCTACAGACAGTAGCTACCCCCAGGGTGGTGGGAACAGAGCTAAGTATGGTAAGTGCCAACAGCTTTGCCAAAAATCCAACACTCAGGTGCTAGTGGTGGTGGTGTGTGTGCGTGTGTGTGTGTGTGTGCGTGTCATTTGTGTGTATTGGTGAGGAAGTTCTAGGGAGCCAACTTTGGGATAACAAAAGGATCTCTTTCTCTTATGTTAGACTTGCTTAACAAAGCCCAGGATCCCTGTACAGTAGGGAGTTCCCTGGTCCTAAAGGAATTTAAAAAGGGGCTTGCCTGTCACTTGGCAGGGATATAGAAGAGGAGGAGACTGGGTTGTTTGGTGGGGAAAGTTGGACTGAGTGTCCTTGAAGATGCTTTCGACCTCAGGAGTCTGTGATTCCAAGACTTGGGTGCTCCCGTAAGGGGGGTAAGGGTCAAGTTGTAGCAGATTTGTTGGCTGGCCTGAGGTCAGGTCTGCTGGAGATGGATGCCCAGTCTCACGTGTCTTCCTAATGCTTTGGCATGTTCCTAGAGAGTGCAGGCGTGTCCTGCATGCCCCAGGTTGGCTTGGTGGGACCAGCTTCAGTCACCCTTCCCGTTGTGGCCTCTGGAGAACCAGTGTCCGTTCCTGACAACTTGCTGAAAATATGCAAGGCCAAGCCAGTGATATTTAAAGGCAAGTATAGCAAGAGGTGGAGGGAGGGGAGCCTAAAAGAATGCTCTAGAAACAGGCAACACTGCGACCTCATCCCAGTCTGGCTCCAAGCATGTCCTCCTGATAAAACTCTAAAACCTTTCTCAGGGCAGTGAAAGAACTAAGCAGACCATTCTCTGGTGTAGCCCCTGATCAGATGCCAAGAATTATAGAGCTCGTCACGGTTTTCCACAACAAGCCCAAGTGAGATAATTCCGTTGCATGACGTCCATTCGCTTGTTCATTTTCTTTCTTGCATTCACTCACCACCCTCACTGAGCTCCTGGCACGGTAACAGGCCCACTGCTCAGCACCAAGGATTGGAGATGGGTCATCAGCCCCTTGCCGATTTATCAGACCAGGAACCCTGGTCTAGGGGGTTGTCCTGTTGTCACCCTATGCCCCTAGTATTTTGTGACTATGAAATCTGACTTTGGTTGGGCAAAGATAGCCCTGGTCACCAGGTAGAAGCTTAAAACAAAATTAGATTTGATCCGTTTTGTGACGGTAGGCTAACATATGCTATGTGGACATAGATTTTTGACTCAACTAAAGAAATCCCTTTCTTATGATGCGGGAGATCTTGAAATGTGAGGATTTGGCAGGACTTATTTGATGATGGTGCTCACTGGTATATAGCAACAAGCACACATGTGCACCTTCAGGTCTTTCTTAAATAAGTTAGTACTGTGTTTGGTATCATATTTGTAGGAATAGAGTAGAGAAGGTGGCAGGAAAGTGGAGAGGTATCTTACTGTTAATTAAGAAATAAGAGAGGGCACTCTTTTCTTTTTCCTAAAAAAACCAAAAATGGACAGGGTATTCAGGAAGAAGGGGGACAATTTGGGTTTTGAACTGGGCATGAAGTGGGGCCAATAATACCATTGGGCTCTATTGGCCAACTAAGATGAAGGTCAGCATTCGGTCACGTGGCCTGTATTCTCAGCATGGCCTCATGTGTCTGTGGTCGGCCCTGAGAACATAGTGATGAGAACACTGAGCCAGGCAGCAGGGGGAGGGCCGCACTTGCGCCTGCTCTGAGCCAGAAGCCTCAGAGTAGTCGGGCAGTGGCTGGCAGACCTGCGTCGAACAGCTAACATCTCACATAGGGACCATCCTCTCGGTTCCTCAAGTTCACTACGCTTCCTGCCACGGCCCCTCCGTGTAAGCCAGTCCCCTCTTTGTAACATGCATGCTTCCCTCGCACCTTCCCCCACTACCATATGCCCAAACTCCACCAGTGCTTTGAGACCTGGACCAGTGCCTTCTCCTTCAAGCCTCCTTAGTTTCCGTTTCATCTGGGCCCCGTTGCGGCTTCTCTGTGCCTCTCTTATGGCAACTATCACATCCTTCCTTTCACAGTAATTCTTCGTGTTGCCTCTTATAAACTATAATGTTCGTCAGTAGTGCTGCCCAAATTGTGGTCCCTGGTCCAGCCGAACCAGCATTGCCTGGGAGCTTAGTAGAAGTGTGAATTCCCAGGCCCATCCCAGAATCAGAATCAGGCCCCATTCTTGAATCAGAAGCTCTGTGGTGGGGCCCAGCAATCTGTGATTTAGAAAGCCTTTCAGGGGGCCCTCATGCACCCTCAGGTTTGAGAAGCAGTGTCCTCGAGGACATGAACTGTGTCTCAGTCCCCAGATTTCCCCCAGAGCCGAGCACGAGGCCTGCACGTAGTACACAGCAGGCATTCAGTAAGTGTGTGTTTGGTGCATAAATGGAGACCTTCTGAGTACAGGGTGCCACACACACATTGACCACATTTGATCATCTCAGCAACCCCGAGAGGACCCCATTTCACAAATGTGGACACTGAGGCTTAGAGCAGCTAAGCTTCTTGCTTAGGGTCATGTAGTTAATGAATGTGGAGGAGATTTGAACCTGGCCTGGGCTCTTCCACTTCTGAGAGTGGTCATCAGAATTAATCTTGTAATGTGTGCTAAAGCATTTGTCGAGTTCTATCAGTATTTGGAGTCTCTGGTCTGTACAGTGATTTATTTTCCTAACTTAGCTCGCCAGAGAGTCCTGGGAGGATGCGAGGCAGAATTCAACATGGTGGAGTCGGGGAGGCGTGGACTGGCAGACAGTCCTGGCAAAGGTCTAGAAGCTGTTGCCCCCACGAGGTGTCCTAGAGCCTGTGCCGAAGGAGCAGCCCAGGCAATGGCTGTTCAGCTTTGGGCAGATCTCTCGGGGACTTAGCTTGCTCCCCTGGAAGATAAGGGATTGGACTACATGAACAAGAAATGTCATGGCCCCCGTCAGTTGTCAGAGAAGGTGCACCGGATCAGCAAAGGCTGGAAGTCTGAGATTTCCCTGAGAAGGGGCACTTGAGTAACCCAGGGGCAGCTCGCCTGCAGAGATCCACTCGTGGGGGGGCCACCCGTGTGCCCAAGGCCAGTTGCCAAGTAGATGCTGTCTCTTCTTCCATAGGCCACGGGAACTTCCCTTACCTCTGTGGGAACCTGAATGACGTGGTCGTGAGCCCTCTCCTGTACACGTGCTACCAGAACTCCCAGTCCATCTCGAGAGCATATGAACAATACGGGGCCTCCACCATACAGCCCATCTCAGAGGAGATGCAGCTCCTGTTGACTGTCTACTATCTCGTCCAGCTGGGTGAGCCTCCCTCCCGCTTGGGGAACCACTGGTAGAATAATCGCTAAATATGTGAGCCTTGATCATCGACTGACACTTAAGCCCTTGCAGACCGCCTCTGGCTGGTGGATGAATGAAGTGAAATACAGGGAACATGCCTCCCTTGCCCTGGGCACCACTCTTGCCCCTATTCTCCACTATGAGTCCAATCGTATCCTGTCTCTGCTCAGAGCACTCTGGTGGTTTCCCATCACACTCGCAATCCACACTCATTCCAGGGCCCAAGTGACCGGCGCTGCCTCCCGCTCCCTTCTTCTCACTCTGCTCCAGCCCCACTGTCCCTCCCAGGCACATCAGTCTTGGTCCTACCTGGGCCTCTTGTGCTTGCTGATCCGTCCCTGAGAAGTGCTCTTGCCCAGGACATTTGTGGGACATGCTCCCTCATGTCATCCGAGTTTCAGTTCACGTTACCTCCTCAGAGAGGCCTCATCATCATCATATCTAAGACAGCATTCCCCCTCCCCAGGCCCCTGTGGCTCTCTATCCTATTCCCTTTTATCTTTTCCTTCAGAGCACTACCACTCCCAGAAATTATATTCTCTGCTTATTGGTTTATTTTCAGTCCATCTCTCCCAGTTAGGATGTAAGCTCCGTGAGATCAGAAACGTTGATCTAGGTCACTTCTGTGTGTTCAACAGCACCTGCAGCATAAAGTTGACACTCAGCCAGTATGTGTTGAAGGAATGGATAAATGTCGATACAGAAGCCAGTGAAACAAAGCGTTTTAGGCAGAGGGACTAGTCAACAGAGTCAACTGGCCAAGAGTTGAGTGAAGACTGACTATTGACCACTGGGTTTGGGCATATGGAAGTGATTGGCAACCTTGATGAGTGGTGTACACGGAGTGTGGGTTAGAGAGGGTAGAGATGAGGAAACAAGTATGGTGAATGTAGACAACTCTCCCAAAGAGCTCTGCTGGGTGGTGGTGGCTATGGAAGGGTACGTGGGCTCCGGGGAAAGATTTTAAAGATGGAGGTAGAACAGCTAATCTAATCAAACTTTGGCACAGCCCAATGAATGGGTAGTATGATCCCCATTTTTTCAGGTCAGAAAACTTGATCATAAGATAGCTCAAGGCTCCACAGCTGGTGCAGGGTAGAGCTGGATGGGAACATTTCTAAATTGAAGTGTGGTGTTCTTTCCTCCAGCTCACCCAAATATAAAATTTGGACATATAAACCAGAAAATACCTGTAGGAAACAAATGTTGAAAGTATTCGATCTTACTAGTCATCAAAGAGATGGAAATTAACAAATAAAACAAGTAAAGTTTTTCTCAAATTCTTGATAACAACCCCTGTGATGGTAACAACCCCAGTGATGGTATCCAGTGGAGCTAACGATGCAGTAAAACCTGTATTATGCGCCATTGATGTCGTGATAAGTTGGTACATTTAGACCATCTGGAAACAGTCTGATGATATGTATTAGTTGGCTCTGTAAGGCCACTTTTGAGAATTTAGGCTAAGTTACAGTCTATATATAAAGATGTGTATTGCAGAAGTATTTATAATTTGGAAACAATACAAGGATCAACAACGGAGATGTTGCTGAGTAAATGGTGGTGTCTCCACACGAGGGAGATCCTGTGCCCATTAGCAGCGCTATTTATGAAGACCATAAACAGCATGGAACCCTGATGATGGTGTGATGGTGAGGAACGTAGAGGAGCCTGGAAGTCTTAGGCCCACATCCTTACAGCTATTTAAAACCTGCACGTGAAAAAAAAGACTGAGAAATAACAAAAATAGCGGTTCTGTTAGGATGCTGAGTTTATGGCCGCTTTTATAGCCTCCCTATATTTCCCAGCTGTCTGTAACACGATTTAGCAATAATAGTTTAGACTGTGTTATTGTTAAATCAGCTGGACGCATTTCCCCAGAATTGCCCCACTGTGTTTGTGTGAGCCGCAGTGTGCGCGTGGGGCAGGCGCTGAAGCCTCTCCCCGCGCCTTGTCGTTGCCAGCGGCGGACCAGGTGCCCCTGATGGAGGATCTGGAGCAGATCTTCCTGCGCTCGTGGCGCGAGTCGCACCTGACGGAGATCCGCCAGTACCAGCAGGCGCCGCCGCAGCCCTGCCCGCCCGCGCCCGGCGCCGTGGCGCCCGTCACGTCGGCGCAGCTGCCCTGGCTGGCCGGCCTGGCCGCCAGCTCCTGCAACGACAGCGTGCACATCATCGAGTGCACCTACTCCCTGGCCGAGGGCCTCTCCGAGATGTTCCGGCTGCTCATCGAGGGCAAGCTCGCCAAGACCAACTACGTGGTGATCATCTGCGCCTGCCGCAACGCCGCCATCGACTCCTGCATCGCCGTCACCGGTGAGGCCGGCGCGCGCCGCCGCGGTGGTGGCACAGCCGCCGTGTGGACTGCCCACTCGCCCTCCTTCGCGCTTCCGCCCTTTGTGCCACTCGTGGCCCGGGTTTGCAGCCGGGGTTGGTTAGTGACTGCGGTTAGTGCTCATGCCCTGGATGGTGTGCAGTTAAGATTCCCTTCCTCCTGTAAACGAAGGTGGGCAGCTCCCATTTCTCCCCTAGAGAGAAGGGGCAGCTCTGGGGTTCGCGTAGACCCGGGGGGGAAACCTGGCTCCCCCATGCGCCCGGAGATGGGCCTGGTCTCTTAATGCCTCTGGGCTTCAGTTTCTTCACCTGTCTAGTGGAGATAAAAAAACAATGACTTTGTTGTGTTGTGTGGGTTAATGAGCCAATTAACGAATTAATTATAAAAATACTCATTGAAGACCTGCTATGTGCAGCCACTGTTCCAGGGGCTGGGGATCTGGGAGTGAAGTCCTTGCTTTCCTGGAGTGTGCATTCTGGTGGGGGAGGCAGACACCAAACACAGCACAGAAGGTGGCAGACAGAAGGGCAGAGGGATGGAGCATTGCAGTTAGGGGGCTGGCTTCCAGGGGGCATCAGGAGAACCTTTCTAATGAGGTGACATTAGAGCAGGGACCTGAGAGAAACCAGGAAGCAAAGGATACCGACATTGCGGGTGGCTGCAGGGCTCTCCAAGACTGTGTGGCAGTATGCTGTGCTTGGCGTGGTGAAGGGACAAGGGATGGCCAGGGCAGAGGGCAGGACTGGGATTGTGTAGGGCCCTGAAGGCCCTGTCAGAACTTTGAGTTTTTCCCTATGCGAGTTGGGAAACCACGTCAGAAGGTTTTGACCAGAGAAGGATGTGGTCTGACTTTTGTTTTAGAAGGATTGCCCCACTTGTGTGTGGAGAACAGACTAGGGGAGAGGAGCAGAACTAGGGAGGAGGCTGCTGCCTGCATCCAGGCGTGGCTGGGTCTTGGCCTAGGCTGGTGAAGGCAGAAAGAAGTGGCCTGATTCTGGCATATTTTGAAGTTGGTGCCTTCAGGGTTGGCTGATGGGTCCTGTGTGGAGTGTGGGAGGAATCGAGGACTCCAGGACCACTCTGAGGATTTTGGCCTGTGTAGCTGGAATAATGCAGTTACCATTTATGGAGACAGAAAGAACTACAGAAGTGTTTTGTTTTGTTTTGTTAAAATTTTAAAATTGTTTGTATGTGGAGGGAAAAGGTGACAGTGGAGATCATGATGGAATCAAGAGTTCTCTCTGACCAGCTTGGCCTAGGTTTCAGGTATCTCGGTGGCCATGATGGGGAGTCAATTGGATATAAAAATCTGAAGTTCAGGGCAGAGATTGGGTCTAAAGATGAAGGGAGTAGTCAGCATTTTAGGGGGTTGAAAGCCAAGAGATGATGCTATGACCCATCCAGTGAGTGTGGAATGAAGGAAGAGTTCTTTCTGAGGATTAGACCCGCAGCGGGGGAGGAAGCGGTAAAGGAGACCCGAGAAGAACAGATTGAGGGAGAAGTGTTTGAGAAGCTGAGGGGAGGATGCATTTCCAGAAGGAAGAGGGAATGAATAGATCAGATGCTCCTGTTTGATCAAGTAAGTTGAGGCCTGAGAATTGACTCCTTACTCTCTCAACGGGACGGTCGTCTGTGACACTGACAGAGCAGTCTTGGTGGGGTGGTGGGTTTGAAAGTGTCATTGGGTTGGGCTCAAGAGAGAATGAGTGAAGTAACGAATATAGACAACTCTTTTGAGAAGTTTTGCCTCAAAAGGAATAGGGAAATGAGATAATAATTGGAGAGCAAGTAGGATCAGGTTTTTTTTGTTGTTTTAAGTTGGGAAATGGAAGAGTATGTTTGATACTGGGAATGATGCGATAGAGAGGGAGATATAGACGATGCAGGCAAGAGGAGGCAGTGGTTAGAGGAAATGTCCATGAGCAGGAGAGAGGGGATGGTCCACGGTGTGCAGGTGGATGTGTTGGCCCTGAATAGGCGTACAGTGGTTTTGAACGTGTGGGAGACAAGTCAGCGTGGTGGGAGTCCTTTCTCCAGCCACGTCCAGCAGCTTGAGTACAGGTGTGGAGCAGGAAGAGGGTTTGGCTAGTGAGAGTGGAGCAAGGCTGTTGAGGATGGATGCTAGGGAGTGACCACTGATGGACGTGGAGTCCCAGTGAAGGGAGGAGGGGCATGAAGACAGGAAGAGAAAGAAGGCAGGGAATGTTCAGAAGGCTCCATAGATTTGAGAAGAGTGGGGATATTCTTTGAGTTGGGTGTCAGAGATGATCAGAGAGTGGGATTCTGGAAGTAGAGGTTATAAAAGGGGCATAGTTACCCCTAATGACAAAGATCAGGGCACGCCTGTGGTTGCAGGTGGATGACAGGAAGTAGAGGACAGCTCCTTGGAAGAGCTCGGAGGTACTGAGCAACTGTTATGTGCCAGGTCGCTCCTTTGTGCATATTAACCTGTTATCCTGCACCATGACCTCATGAATTCATTCTGTCGGAGCAATGTGAATGCCTAATTTCCAACTTCATCTTGTTAGTTAAAAAGAACACAAGAAAATTCTTAAGTCTAGCGTTTTCTTGGTTAAAGAGTCAGGGATACAAATAGAGATTTCTCAATTTAGGACTATTAATGAAAATTTTAAAACATCTTTCTTAACACTTTTGCCTAGTACTCATAGATCTTTATGGGTCAACTTGTAAATTTCAGAGAATTTTTGGTTAATCAGTACACTCATTTTTTGGCCTGTTTAAAAAAATGACACCACAGGTATTAAATACTTTAAACCTGAAATTTTCATATTGTTTATGTAAAAAATGCGTATTGTTACTATGACGTATCCCAGTTATCTTTTAGCATTCTTTGATCCTAAACTCATTCTATGTTTTTGTAAATTCTCTATGTTGATTTGAGTAGTACTTTCAGTAATAAACCTGGAGCCCTTGCTGCGTGTCAGGCATTGGGCTAAACATTTTATAAACATTGCCTTGTTTTATCCTCAGAATAGTCCTATTAAGTCGATACTGCTGTTAGCCACATATTCCAGACGAGGAAACTGGTCTGGAGGGTTAAGTAACTCGTCCCAGGTTACACAGCTAGTAAGTGGGGAGGGAGTCAGGTTCCAAAGCCGATCCTCTGGGTTTTCCCTCTTATTGTCCTAACTATTAAACTGGGCCAGGATAGTATATGCCATTTCTCCGTTTAACCAACATGAACACCTGCTCTTAGCCAGGCGTGGTGCCTGGCATGGGGGATGGAGAGATGGAGAGATATAGGTACAGACTGTCATTCAGGAGCTCATGTGCTGATTCTAAGCAGAGGGGCCCAGTGAAAGTTGTTTGTTTTCCAGGAAAATACCAAGCCCGGATTCTTTCCGAGAGCCTTCTCACCCCAGCGGAGTACCAGAAGGAAGTCGATTATGAGCTGGTTACGGGGAAAGTGGACTCCTTGGGGGCTTTTTTTAGCACCCTCTGTCCAGGTAGGCTTGTAGTGAGACAGATGCAAACTCATAAATGGATAAGACAGAAATAAACAAAGATGCCAAGTGGGAAGTCATCTCAGGGCCCATCCCCTCTGTGACCTGCTGAGGCTGGCCTTGTTTTAGATGTGCAGGGCAGCCCCTCCATTCTGTGCATTAGCATTTATGGCCCTTTCTGGCGTGGTCTCTGGCTGGCTGTCTTCCTGCGGTAGCTGTGGGTTCTCCTAGGTGGGAGCTTTGGGCTTCTGTCCCACCACTGCTCCCCACCTCCCCTTCTGAATTGCTTGAAGCTTCTTGCTAGAACAGTGTGTTCTCTGTGCCTCGTTCTGTGTGTTCTATGCCGTGAGCGCCCTTCTCTGCCTGGCTACTCACCCCTCAAGACTCACCCTGTTTCCTCCCAGAAACCTTCGCTGGCCCTTCTTTCTCCAGGATGGGCTCCGAACCCTTCCTTCTGTTCTTTAGCATCTCCTTCTTCCTTCTCTCCTCACACCTACTGTGTCATAGTGTAATTTTCTTTAGCATCTCTGCCTTCCTTGCTAGGCTGTGAAGTCGGGACCGTGTCTTCTTAATCTCCGTTACCCCAGGCCCAGGACAGTGCCTGATCCATAGTAGGTGTTCCGTAGATGTTTGCTGAATTTTGCTGAGATGGAAAACCCATTTCTGTTATTCTCTCTGTTTTGGGCAGAGGGCGACATTGACATTTTGCTGGACAAATTTCATCAGGAAAATCAAGGCCACATTTCTTCCTCACTTACTGCCTCCTCTGTCACCAAATCAGCATCCCTGGATGTCAGCGGGGTACCAGTGTGCACAAGTGAGTGATGAGAGGAAGTTGGTGTCCAGGGTCTGGGCTGATGAGGCGGCGTCCAGGGGCCTCCAGGAACTATGAGAAAGCAATGTTAGAGGCAGTTGCAGAGGGCAGGGTGTCTCCCTAGCATGCAAGTAGACCTAAGATCTAATTTTAATTTTAGTCCTTAATTATAAAGACCATTTTGCCCTGAAATGTCCATGTATTCTTTTTCCTGAGATGGTACATTTCTGGGTGTTGACTTCCAGCTTATCAATGCATTGTTGAAATATTTTATTCATACTAAGTTCCTGAAAATCTGTGACAGTCTCCTTCTCTTCCAGAGAACTTACAGCATCTTCTAAAGTCCAATCTCAGCGTCAGCTTCCCTGGGATGCTGTCCTTGTCCCCTCCAGGTAGAGTAGGTCACTGCCTCTGTGCTCCCTGATCGCTGTTCATCCTTTTATTTTTAAATTAGGAAAGGTGTGAAATGATGCGTAGCCCAGAGCAAGCGCTCGAAAAATGTTAGTGTATTCCCTGTTTCCCTTGTTGCTTTGTGCACTAGACAGGGGCCTACTCTTTGACTCCCTAGCAGAGGTCCAGGGCAGTGGCCATCTGTTCTCGGGTGCACCTCACCTTTTGTGGGCTCTGGTTCCAGGTTACAATCTGGAGCCCCACTGCATCCGGCCCTTCCAGCTGGCCGTGGCCCAGAAGCTCCTCTCCCATGTGTGTTCAATTGCGGATTCCAGTACCCAAAATCTGGACTTAGGATCCTTTGAGAAGGTGGACTTTCTGATTTGTATTCCACCCTCAGAAGTGACCTACCAGCAGACTCTGTTCCACGTCTGGCATTCAGGTATGGGGCCTTTTGGGGGCAAGCTGTGATGTCTGCATGGAGAAGCTTTGATCCACTTAAGTTCTGATCTGGATTTGAACACCAGTGTTTGCTTCTAAAGTAGATAGGACAAGTGTTATTACTCCCATTTTATAGATCGTGAAGCTGATGCTCAGAGATAGCAACTTACCTGAGATTTTATAATTGGTTAAGGGTGGAACCGTGACTTGAATTTTCACTCTGTCCCGCTCAGGTCAATGATCTATGTGTTGATATTCTGCTTCAACTTAATGTATTTCCTCTGCGCTTTCAAGGGGATTAAATGTGAAATACACGGAGAGCCAATGTCTTAACTCAAAGGAGTCAGTCTAGAGTCGTATAACCGAAGGCCCCATGGCATTTAGGCTGGGAGATGATTTTGCTGGTGGGGGGATCTTTGCCATTCCCTTCAGTCACACCATGCCTGAGATCAGCTGCTTCATGAAGCCAGCTTTGCAGTGCCTTCTGGGTGGGGTGCTGTGTACACCTCTGGGTGGGCTGTTCCGCCAAGCTGTGGAGCAGGCCTGCCTCTGGGCCCAGCTCCTGCACAGACAGGTGCACGGTAGTCGTTTGCATTGGAGCCTGCCTGCATGACACACTGGTGTCTCATGCGTCCCTCTGGCCCCTGGGCCTGGCACAGTGCCTGCTGTAGAGATGCTCACAGGTGTCTGCTGAGTGAATAGAAAATGCATGACGACGTTTGGAGTTACTGATGTGTTTTTACTGTCTTGCAGGGGTTTTACTGGAGCTTGGCTTGGAAAAGGAGCACATGACCAAGCAGAGGGTTGAACAGTATGTTTTGAAACTAGATGCGGAGGCGCAGACAAAATTTAAGTCCTTTCTACAAAACTCCTTTCAGAATCCACACACGCTCTTTGTCCTAATCCACGACCATGCCCACTGGGATCTTCTGAGGTTAGAGTGACTTTGGCATATGGCAGGGTTGACATTTTCCTTCTTTGAATTAATATATGTATATGGATGATTCTTGGGACTGAGGGTCGAAGTCTTAAAAAGATGAATGTTGTTGGGGGCTTGGCATCTGTAAGCAAATGCCATGGAGGTATTTCAGAGCCTTAGAGCTGGAAGTTACCTTAGGGATCATCTAGTGCAACCTCTGAAAGTCACCATTATGGAAACTAGAGAAGGGAAGCATCTTGCTCAACATCGCGGGGCTGGGTGGGGGTGGGAGGATGTTAGTGGCAGAGCCAGCCTAGGACTAAAGACCCCTGAATTGCAGCCTGATGCTCTTTTTCTGTACCCTACTCAGCAGCAAGGCACACCCTGGTGCTGGGAAGGGATCCTGACGGGTGGCTTGGCCCAGGCCCCTTCCTGATGGAGGCCCCATCGCCTCCAGTGCCAGGGCTCCCAGCTGGTGCCCGCCTGCTTCAGGGTGATTTTACTCAATTCAAATGAACGTAAATCTAGATGAGTTTCAGAGGGCGTCAGGCTTGGAGTCTGGCAGGATTCCTGGTTGTTTCCCAGGATCGGTCATCTCCATGAGACTGGCTTGTGGTTGTGTGTTTGGACACTGCCACTGACGTGGATGAGGAGGCGAGGAATATCAAGGGTCAGCTCTCAGAGGAAGGCTTTGCTTTAGCACAGATTCAGAAGCTTAGGGCTGGCCGGAGCCTCACAGAACACCTGGATAAAGAGTTTACAATCTGAGGTCCATGTATGGGCTTGGGGGAATTTGAACATCCTGAATTATATAAAAAGCTATATTGTGAATATTCATTTTGGGAGTAGGTTTCTTGGAATGGCTACCTGCCACCCAAAAGGTGAAGCACTGATTTTTTTATATTCCTCTAGATTTATAGAAGAGAACTCCTGAGGCCATTGTCCCACAGAGAAAGACTGAGCTGTGCTTGTCTCTTAGACCCCTGTCCAAAATGCTTGCCATTTCCAGTCCTATATTTTAAAATTTAGTGTAGAATTTACCATTCCGTATCCTCTTTGGATCATTTCAAGGTCAGCAGAACTTTAGGGGAAAAAATTTAAGGAGGCAGGTACACAATCAGATTGTGCCAAAGGAGAAAAGGGGATTCTGTGGACACTCCTGGGTGAGAATCACTGTCTAGAGGGGTAGGTGGATTGGGTATGTTGCGAGCAATCCTCTATAAATGCTGTTCCCCCAGCCAAATTTTTAATAAAGTAATGGAGAGAGTCTGACAGAAGAGTCTGACCGGGGCCTAAGTGCAATCATTTCTTTATTTTTTATTTTCCTAGTCATGGGCAGAGCCATAAGCTTCAATTATTGGTGGAGTTGGGAGCAAGTTATAAATTTATTCAACTGCTTGATCCTTGGTAAATTACAGAACCGCACTGGTCATTCCACTTACTGTTTCTTCTCCCTGTTTCTCCCTCAGTAGCGCTGTTCATAATCTCTACGCCCAAAGTGACCCGTCTGTGGGATTGGTGGACAGATTGCTCAATTGCAGGGAGGTGAAGGAGGCCGCCAATATCGTGACCCTCCACGTGACTTCCTTCCCTTATGCGCTGCAGACACAACACACCCTCATCAGCCCTTACAATGAGATCCACTGGCCTGCCTCCTACAGTAACGTGAGTGCCACTGGGCTGCTGGGCCTGGGGTAGCAATGACCCTTGAGTTGGGAGCAATTCCGTTTAGCAAAAATCTTGACTGACTGCCATAGTAGAGGGTCAAGCGGGTTCTAGCTCCCTGGCTCGCTGATTCAACTCTGGGTTAGATTTAAACCCTTCTTGGTCTTTAGAAACCTTCCCGAAATACATCAGTTGGCTTTCCCGTCTTAGAACATGTAACGTTTTGTCTGGAAGCCTTAGAAATGTTCCTGTTTTTCCTATAAGGTTCAAAATCTCCTTCCTTAAACTGAACACACATCCGCAAAACCTGGTGAGTTTTATTTCGGTTTGTCACCTGCCATTTTGTCATCAAAATAGGAGACCACAACAATTCTGGTAATTTGAGAATTCTGGGTAGTTGGATTCTGGCTAATTACACAAATAATAGGTAAACGTCAAATGCTGGACGTCTTTGGAGTGTCTCAGAGTCGTCTGAGGAACTTTTAAAGATACTGATGCTTTAGTATCAGCATAAAGATAGTATCAGCTATCTTTATATGCTTTAGTATCAGCTGTAAAGATACAGCTGAACTGGCTGCAGTTCAGTGGATTCTGAATCAGTGGTAGTAATAGCCGTCGCTTGTGTAGTGCTTACTGTGAGCCAGGTAGGCACTGTTCTAAGTGCTTTGTCATATGAACTCAGGTAAGATGCAGGTGCTAGGATGATTTCTGATTTACAAATGGGAAAAACAAGGTGTGGGGGGGGCGTTGAGCCACTTGCCTGAGGCCATGAAACTAGACAGTGATGGAGCCGGGATATGACCCAGGCCGGCCGCTCCCTGGCCCTCGCGCTTAACCCCTGTGCCATTTGAGGGTAAAATTCTTGCCTTTGGGGGCTTGCCCCGTGGCATAGCGGCTGAGTTAACGTGCTCCGCTTTGGTGGCCCAGGGTTCGCAGGTTTGGATCCCGGGCGTGGACCTCTGCATAGCTTGTCAAGCCATGGTGTGGCAGGCATCCCATATATACAGTAGAGGAAGGTGGGCACGGATGTTAGCCCAGGGCCAATCTTCCTCAGCAAAAAGAGGAGGATTGGCAATGGATGTTAGCTCAGGGCTAATCTTCCTCACCAAAAAAAAAAAAAAAAAATCATGCCTTTGCATTGTTAACAGCCTCCAAATTTTGCTACGCTCTGAAGTTTGACAAGCTCTGATGTTAGTTTGGGGGGAATTTTATGTCAATGTGAGTAAAATTGATTAAGTAAATGTATTTTTTCTGTTGACTTTAATAACAACTAAATGCAAGGTGGTTGATGTGCCTCTTCCTAAGAACAGCTGAAAATTGTTGGAAAGAAGCAATTTTAACAAAGTTTTATGTTATAAAAAGATAAGGCTGATTTTTCTTCTTGGCGAAGATACTAGGGTCCCTGCGAGGACCTGGCGATCCCCTGGTGGGGATGCATCATCCTTCAAGTACGGAGTGCTCTGTGCTCTGGATCTGCAGAGGAAAGAATGTTATAAAATGTCATCCAAGGGACTGCAGAGTCAGCACCGTTTAGATCAGGGTGCCCGTCCAGGCTGTCTGCACGCCTAGCAGGTGAACCTCTCAGTCCCCACAAATGCAACGTTTGAGTGACCGAGGCTCTTCTCTGTTTCAGGGGGTGGACTTATATCCTGAGAATAAGAAGTACTTCGGGCTGTCAGAGTTCATTGAGTCCACCCTTTCAGGACACAGCCTCCCCTTGCTCAGATACGACAGCTCCTTTGAGGCCATGGTCACCGCGTTGGGAAAAAGGTACATGTCTCTCTTCGAAGTTATTAAAAACGCTCAGTAGTCAAGTGTGAGTTGAGGCGCACGTGGCCAGGGAATTCCAGGGTGGGATCCACCTCCCTCCCTTCCTGGGTGACTCAGTCCCTCCGCTAAAGGGACTCTATTTCTCATCTTGCGTTTTGTGTTAGTGATATCTCTGTCATGGCTGCTGCTCCAGAAAATTTTAGAGATGAAAATGGGCAGAAATATGCTGGAATATGGGATTGTGTGTTTGAGAATCAAAGGAGGGCAACAAAATAAGAGGTAAGATACCAAAACGCTTAAGGAAGCGCTAGGGACAATCACAGTTGGCTTCACTTTTTATGTCCTCTGCGTATCATCTATCGAGTGCTAATTTTGTGCCATTCAGTGTTCCAAGAGCCTTACTTTCATGATCTTATTTAGTTCTCCTGATAGCTTGCTGAGCAAAGAAGCCCTCCCAGATTTTACACTGAGGCCATGAGAACTGGCCTCTGCTCTCGGCCCAGCTCCCCCATGTCTCCTTGTGCAGCTAACACATTGAGTGCTTAGTGAGCTGTAGACACTGAGCTCAGTCCTCTATGTTTATTGCCTAAAGATAATCCTCCCAGTGGCACAGTGGGATAGGAGATACTGTTATCTCCATTTGACGGAGGAAGAAACTGAGACTTGGGTAAAGTAACTTGCCCAAGGTCACGTGGGGGTTTATAGTGAAGCCAGATCAAATCCTATCATTTGACTCCAAAGCAGCATAACCACTAAGCCATATAGAGCAAGATCTCACAGCTAGTAGAAGGCCAACCAGACCATGGGACCATATGTCCTGGCTCTACCCTGTATTAGTTTTAACCTTAGGCAAATCACTGAACCTGTCTGAACTTCTGTACCCTCACCTGTAGATCAAATCTGCTCTCCTAGTGGCTTCTTATGAGAGTTTCATGAAATGATGAACCTGGGCAGAGTCAGGAACAGTTGCATGCTGAGAAGGCTCCAAAATCATGTCCCTGGGTTTGAGTCCTGGGTCTGTACTCATCAGCTGTAAGACATGAGGAAAGTTTCTCAATTCTCTTTGGGAATAATAAGCCCTACCTCCTAGGACTGTTATGCGGACTAAGTGGATTAATACATGTAAAGCATTAAAAACAGTGCCTGGCAGACATTACATGCTCCTGTTTGCTGCTGCCATCACCATCACCAGCATCACCACCGTCACTGTCACCATCATCACTGTCACCATCACATCCTCACAGTTACCACCACCATCACACCATCCTCCTCCTTTCTCCCCCTCTGCTAAACTGGAAGTATTGCACAGAGAGTAAAATTTACATTTCACTGAGCGAGAAGAGAATATCAAATTCTGGAATATTGAGGTATGGAGAATTGTAAAAACTCCTAGGAACCACTTAGCCAACCACCTCATTTATAATTGTGGGAACTGAGGCCCAGAGAGGGGAAGTGGTTTGCCAAGGGTCACAGAACCTATTTGTAGCAACCTAGCCTATAACCAGGTTTGATGTTCTTTCCACCATGCCATACTGCCTTTCCCAGGAATCACCTGTTTGGAAAACTCTCTTGAAATAGGTGACTTGAACAGTAGGAGATAAAGGTAAGAACACAGAGGTTACTGCCTCTTGCCACCACGTGCACAGCTAGACTGTTGGTTCACTGTGTGTCGCAGACACACTCCAGCATACGGCTGGGAAATCTGTTCATGGGACCACAAATCTGACACAGACCTACTGGGACTAAAAACATTCAGACATTTAACAACTCCCATTTTTATTCCAGTACGTTTTCTGTGGAGTTTCCTTCCTGTGGGGCCAACCACAAAGGCTTAGAGACGGGCGCATTTTTATGCCTGACTCGTGGGTGCTGTTTAGAGCTAGGCACTAGTTCCTGCCTCCCATGTGCTTGTCTTTTTTTTTTTTTTTTAAACAACAGCTTTAATGAGGAATAAGGACATACAGTAAGCTGCACATATTTAAAGTGTTCCATTTGATGAGTTTCAATGTATGTAAACACTGGCAAAACCTTCACTACAATTAAGATAATGAACAAAAGTTTCCTCCTGCCCCTTTCTAGTTATTCCTTCCTATCCCTCTCTCACTATTGATCAGTTTGCATTTTCTCAAGTTTTATATAAATGAAATTATATACTATGCACTCCTTTTTATTTGGCTTCTTTCACTCAGCATAATTATACTGAGGTTCATCCATGTTGTTGCATGTATCAATAGTTCATTCCTTTTTCGTGCTGCATAGTATTCTACAATAGAATACTACTGAATGGCTATAGGAGTTTGTTTATTTACTGGTTAATGGATATTTAGGTTATTTTTCGGTTTTGACTGTTACAAATAAAGCTGCTATGAAAATATGAAAATAGCAGCTTTACATGTACTTTATTCTTAATGCTTTACAGGTACTTCTAAGTCTACACGTACAAGGCTTTGTGTAGACTATGCTTTCATTTCTCTTTGGTAAATACCTAGTAATGGATTGGCTGGGTTATGTGGTAGGTATGTGTTTAAATTTTTAACAATCCACCAAGTTGTTTTCTAAGGTAGTTGCATCATTTTATATTCTCACCAGCAATGTATGAGAATTTCAGTTGCTCCACATCCTCATCAGCACTTACTGTGGTCAGTCTTTTTAATTTTAGCCATTCTAAAACAGATATGAAGTGGTATCTCATAGTTTTAATTTGCATTGCTCCAATGGCTAATGATGTTGAGCATCTTTTTTTTTTTTTGTGAGGAAGATCGGCCCTGAGCTAACATCTGCCAATCCTCCTCTTTTCGCTGAGGAAGACTGGCCCTGGGCTAACATCCATGCCCATCTTCCTCCGCTTTATATGGGATGCCACCACAGCATGGCTTGACAAGTGGTGCGTCGGTGCACGCCTGGGATCCGAACCGGCGAACCCCGGGCCGCCGCAGCAGAGTGCACGCACTTAACCACTTGTGCTGCCGGGCAAGCCCCCATGTTGAGCGTCTTTTCATCTGTCTATCTACCATTTGCATATCATCTTTGATGAAGTGTCTCTTGATGAATTGACCCCTTTATCATTATGAAATGACCTAAAGAATATTATTCTTCTAAAATCTACTTTGTCTGATATTAATATAGCTACTCCAACTTCCTTTTGACTAGTGTTAGCATAGTTTATAATTTTCCATCCTTTTAACCTATTTGTGTCTTTATATTTAAAGTTGGTTTCTTGTAGGCAGCTTATAGTTGGATCTTGCTTTTTTATGTGATCTGACAATGTCTGCCTTTTAATTGAGGTGTTTAGACCATTTACATTTAATATGGTTATAGATATGGTTGGGTTTAAAACTGCCATCTTCTAATTTGTTTTCTATTTGTCCCTTCTGTTTCCTTTTTCTGCCTTCTTTTGGATTAATTGAGCTTTTTTATGATGTCATTCTCTCTCTCTCTCTCTGCTTATTAGCTATAATTCTTTGTTATTTTGGTGGTTGCTTTAGAGTTTATAGTATATATCTTTAACTTATGACAATCTACTTTCAAGATATATAATACCACTTCATGTATAATATAAGATTCTTACAGTTGTATATTTCCATTTCTCCTCTCCCAGACTTTGTGCTTTTGTTGTCACACATTTTACTGATATATGTTATAAACTCTGCAATAAATTACTCTTGCTTTTGACAATCATCTTTTAAAGATGTTTAAATAAAAATAATTTTTTAAAAACACATTTTATATTTACACATGTAGTTACTATTTCCAGTGCTCTTCATTCCTTTGTGTAGATTCAGATTTCCATCTTGTATCATTTTCGTTCTGTCTGAAGAACTTCTTTCAACATTTCTTGTATGAAAGGTCTGCTGGTGATTAATTCTTTCAGCTTTTGTGTATCTGAGAAAAGTCTGTTTTGCTTCAATTTTGAGAGAGATTTTCTCTGAGTGTATAAAATTGAGGTTGACTTTTTTCCCTTCAATAAATTAACGATGTTGCTCTACTGTCTTCTGACTTGCATTGTTTCAAACAAGAAATCGACAGTAATCCTCATCTTTGTTTCTATATAATGTGCTCTCCTCCCACCTCTCCCCCCACCAACTGCTTTAAAGAATTTTTAATTTATCACTGATTTTCCGCAATTTGATTAAGACAAGCCTTGATGTAGTTTTCTTCATGTTTCTTCTACTTGAGTTAGAGTTTTCATCAAATAGGAAAAAATTTAAGTCATTATTTCTTCAAAGATTTTTTTCTACATTCATCTCTCCCCTTTCAGAATAGTCCAATTACACATGTATTAGCCTGCTTGAAGTTGTTCCATAGTGTTCTATGGATGCTCTAGATGCTCTATTCATTATTTTTGTTTCCCTGTTTCATTTTAGATAATTTCTATTGCTATGTTTTCAAGTTTACCAATCTTTTGTTTCTGCAGTGTCTAATCTGCTATCAGTCTCATCCAGTTTATTTATTTATTTTTATTTTTTGCAAAAGCAAAGCAGTTTTATATGACAAAGTTCCTAAGAGAAGAAGAAAGGCAGTTTCAAGTAGCACATGCATAAATATACATACACGTTAATGAATTGATAGTAAATAGTTACTTGTGTTTATTTATTAATCAGAAGTCTTCATTGCAGGTGACAGAAACCAAACTTGAACTACCTTAGGAAAAGGAGAGAAATGTATTTATCATGAAATAAAAGGACAGGTTGAATAAATAAACCATAAAACGTTAGAGATGCAGCTGGTTTCAGGAACAACTTGAGTTAGGTATTAAACACTGCCAAGACTGTTGTTTTGTCTTTAGTATCTCTCTCTGTGGGCTTTATTGTATCTCACCGCACACAGGCTTCTTCCATGTGCTTAAAACATCACCCCTGGGTGCTACTGAACTTCATAAGCTCCAGCTTCTAGAAGAGGATTGATTCTTTTTCATAATTTGAAAAAATCTCAAGGAAAGGCTGATGGCCCATCCTGGGTCAGGTACCCATCCTTGAACTTATCTGTTGTAGCTGGCAGGCATGGCTGAGTACCAAGATGGTAGCTCCCATGAGAATTCAGGGTCTAGTTTATTTTCTATCTCACACATTGTAGTTTTCACCGCTATAATTTGATTTGAGTCTTTTTTATATCTCCACTTAACATGCTCGATCTTTCCTCTAGCTTCTTAAACATGTGAAATATACTTACAATAATTGTTTTAATGTTCTTGTCTACTGATTCTGTCATCTGTGTCATTTCTGGGTCAATTTCTATTGATTGATTTCTTCTTCCCCCCTTATTATGGATTGTATTTTCCTGATTCTTTACATATCTGGTAATTTTTGAGAGGATGCCAGACATTGTGAATTTTACCTTGTTGGGTGCTGGCGAAGTCTTTTTTTGTGTGTGTGTGAGGAAGATTAGCCCTGAGATGACATCCAGTGCCAATCCTCCTCTTTTTGCTGAGGAAAATTGGCCCTGGGCTAACACCTGTGCCCATCTTCTTCTTCTTTATATGGGACCCTGCCACAGCATGGCTTGACAAGTGGTGCGTCAATGCTCGCCTTGGATCTGAACCTGCAAACCCTGGGCCACTGCAGCAGAGTGCACACACTTAACCACTACACCGCTGGGCCAACTCCTGGATGAGTCTTTTTAAACTTTGTTGTGGGACACAGTTAAGTTCTTAGAAATAGTTTAATCCTTTCAGGTTTTGCTTTTAACCTTTGTTAGGCAGGACCAGAGCAGTTTTCAGACTATGGCTTACTTTGCCCACCACTGAGTCAGAGCCCTCTCTAAGTAAGTACTCTGTAACGTTCCATGAACTCTGATGTCTTCCGTGTGGTGATGGGAACAGGAACTATTCCAAGCCCTATATGAGCTTGAGGCATTGTTTCCTCTAATCCTTTGGATGGTTTTTCTCGTGTCGTTGGGTAGTTTCCTCATGTATATGCACTGTTCACTCCTCAGCTGAAGACTTGGGGGACCCCCTGTAGCTCTCCTGAGTTCTCTATCTGTACAGCTCTCTCCTCTTTGGTTCTTTTCCCTGGGAACTCTAGCTGGACTGCAATGCCTTTCCTCAACTCAGGGAGACGACTGGGGCTTTGCCTGTGTTCCCCCTTCTTGAACACATCCAGAAACTCTTTCCAGGCAGAAGCTGAAGGCTCACCTAATTTGTTTCTCATTTCTAAGGACCACTGTCTTTCTTTTTTTTTTTTTTTTTTTTTAAAGATTTTTTTTTTTTTTTTTTTTCCCCCCAAAGCCCCAGTGGATAGTTGTATGTCGTAGCTGCACATCCTTCTAGTTGCTGTATGCGGGACTCGGCCTCAGGATGAACGGAGAAGTGGTGCCTCGATGCGCGCCCGGGATCCGAACCCCGGCCACCAGCACCGCAGGGGGCGCACTTCCCCACCAAGCCACAGGGCCGGCCCAGGACCACTGTCTTTCATTGCCTAATGCTCAAGGTCTTGAAACACTATTGTTTCATATATTCATCCAGCTTTTCAGTTGTTTCAGGTAGAAGGATAAATCTGGTCCCTGTTACTCCATCTTGGCCAGAAGCAGACGTCTCTGCTTGTCCTTCAAACAGAGCTGAGTGCAGGCACCTCCCACGACGTCAAAGATGAGGAGAAGAGCGTTCTCCTCCCTAAGTCATACCCTGTCCTTCTTACCTTGCTCCAGGTGAAAAGGGCCCACCACCGCTGGGGCAGTGTGTAGGGGAGGGGAGACAAGTATCTTCCACACTGCTCTCTTTCTTTCTTCCTGGGCACTATTTGGCCAGTGCGCCAGTGGCAGGGCAGAGTAGTTGTTGGGCTGCTGAGTCCCCTTTGTGCCAGAGTCTGTGGACCAGTTATGCCTTCCTGACAGCATTGGTAATAGCAAGTTTGCCAAGCCAACTCTGCAGTTTATAGAACCCATAAAGGAGTTGAAGTGCTGAGAGAAAGAATGAAGAAAAGGAGAATAATGGGCAGGAGGAGACATCAGAGATGCTGTTAGAAGGCGAGCTGGCTGCTCTGATAGAACTCGCAGGGTGGCTTGGCCATGGTAGGATTCCTACCTTTGTAGGTCAAGAAACTGCTTTATCTTTGCTCCAGAAAGCCACTGAGTCAATGGACTCATTCCAGCTAAATAAACTCACAAGAGCATCACATATAGACTGCATGTCAGTGTGTCTATTCCCGCTGAGAAACACAGTGACCTACAGTGCCTTGGGTTTTTCCGGTGGGGTCTGTTTCTGACCCGTGGGTTGGAGCTGCTCCGGGAGTGCATATGGTCATGGGAGGGGCCGCTATCTTTGTGTAGGGACACATAGGGTAACCACAGTTTCTGAAGCAAAAATTGGGATTCTTAGTTTGACTGGATGTGTTCTGATTTCTAATTCATCTGTCAAATTGTCACCTTTCATTACATTTCTGTTAATTCACTGTAACTGAAATGAATACAGGGGTGTGCCTTTAGGATGGTCCCCCCAAATCTGGGGTGTGTGGTAGCTGTATTTACATACTGATTGCTGGTGGTTCTCCTATTTCTAGTGGGAACCTGAGGCAAATAACCTGAGTCAAGGAACTATAAATGAAGCTGATGATAGACTCAACAAGCATTATTTTATTCATTCTTCTGTTCATTCACTGAAAAAGTATTTATTGAGCAGCTACTATGTGCCAGGTGCTGGGAGACAGAGAAACAGCAGCAACAACAAACCTATGCATTTGTTTCCTAGGTGGAAATGACAAAGCAGTTACGATTTGACTTCTAAGGAAAGCTTCTATTTCAGGTTCCAAACAACCTGCTTCAAAAGGAAACACACTTGTTTGGAATCTGGGAGTTGCCTGCGCCCTAAGTGGGGGCTGTCTTGGGTCACTTGTGTGCCGTGGGAGGAACGGCCTTCCTCTCCCGGAGCGCTGTGGGCGTCCCCGGGGTCGCGGCCCGGGGTCACGGCCGGTCTCTGTTTGTTGCAGGTTCCCCCGCCTGCACAGCGCGGTGATCAGGACCTTTGTTCTCGTGCAGCACTACGCGGCCGCCATGATGGCCGTGAGCGGCCTCTCGCAGATGAAGAACTACACGTCGGTGGAGACACTGGAGATCACCCAGAACCTCATCAACTCCCCGAAGCAGTGCCCCTGCGGCCACGGGCTCATGGTCTTGCTGCGGGTGCCCTGCTCGCCGCTGGCGGCCGTGGCCTACGAGCGGCTGGCCCACGTGCGGGCGCGCCTGGCCCTGGAGGAGCACTTTGAGATCATCCTGGGCAACCCCAGCTCCGGCATCTCCGTCGGGAAGCACTTCGTGAAGCAGCTCAAGGTGGGCACTGTGGTCAGGGGCAGGAGGGGTGATGGACGTCTGGGAGAGTGGTGGGGCACGGGCACCAAGGCGATGCGGGGGGCACGGAATGGCGACAGACTGCTTAACGTTGCCGTCTGTTGTGGCCTGGCCACACCTGGCCACCCCTCCAGTGCCTCTCTTGGTGTGTCCCTCCCTGCACCTTGCAGTCCAGCAGTACCAAATTCTGTAAACACCGCCTCCTCATGGCTCCCCCAAAACACACTCTCTTGCAATTTCAAACTTCTGGGCCACAGCATGCTTTTCTTTCTTCCGAGGGGTGCCTTTCTCCTCCTCCTTGGTTTAGCTAATGCCCATCAGCCTGCAGAACTCATCTCAGCGTCTTTTCCTCTTTCAGGAAGCCGCCTCTCCCCCACACCTGGGGCCCTTGACTGTCATCTGGCTCCTCCCCTAGGTGGTGGAGGCTGGGGACCATCCCCACAGATCTCGACCCCCCCACCAAACTAGCACAGTGCCCGGCCAGTAGTAGCTTCTCACTAAACCTACAAATGATGGAAAATGCAAAAGAGTTAGGGCAAGAATTTTGAAAGAATAATTGGGTAGGAACTGTGAATGAAAGACACCAGCACAGCGATTGAGAGAACATAGTAAAAAACGTTAGAAACAACTGAGGATGTATACCTCCTCCCACAGAATCAGCCAGTTAGCACGTGTTTCTTGAACAGCTAATACGTGCCAGGCAGTGTTCTGTGTGGCTGGGTATACAGTGATGCTTATTCGCAGGATAAAGAGCTTTCCTTTTTATCAAAGGATGAAATACAAGGACTTTTAATCAGAGGTAGACATCAGGTTTCCCTTAGAGCTGGGCTGGTTGGGAAGTAAGGGGTCTGACGGCTTTATTTCTCTTTAATTATCTGCAGATGTGGCAGAAGATTGAGGATGCTGAGTGGAGACCTCAGACTTACTTGGAGCTGGAGGGCCTGCCTTGCATCCTAATCTTCAGTGGGATGGACCCGCATGGGGAATCCTTACCAAGGTGAGTGGAGGGGCCTGTGCTCCTGGGGTCTTTGGGGAGCCAGAGGCAGGGGTTGCCAGGCCCGGCTTCCACTGCCCAACTCTAGGTGGAGCATCCACATTCATGAGCATCATAGATTTGTATATTTATTAGGACAGTTTTCCAGCAGAAGGCAGTGAAATGTGTCTGAAGCCTTCGCTGCTTTTCCTAATTCTCAGGCACCATTTGGGCTCGTGAGGGTGGGGTGGGGGCTCCCCCAGCGGGTTGCCAGGCTCTGTGGGTGGAGACCCTGCAGCTGGAGTTAGGGTTTAATGCCTCCCTCAGTTTCTCCCCATTGGGCATCATTGCGTGTGTTAGGGATGCAGTTCCCTGTCGGAAGGTATCGGATCGTCTCGGGGTGGCATGGGGTGGGGGGAGGTCAGAACTTCATTTCCCACTGGTATCTAGGCTGCTGCCATGGCTGGTCCCTGCTGGTTTAGGAGGTGTTCTGGGAAGGGGAGAGGTGACCGATGCCGCTCGGGAAGAACCAATTCTTCCAACACACAGAGCAGACTGTCTCAAACGCCGTGTGCCCCTGGAGCCATCACAGCTGTGCAGAAGTCAACTGCAAGCCCACTTGGTGTCTCCCGGGGTCTCCAGGCCGACACACAGACAGGCAGACACTCGGGACAGAAGATCACTGGGCCTCCAGTAAGGCAGTTGCTTGAACTGGTAGTGACAGGTTGGCTTTTAAAGGTTTACTTAATACCCATGGAGAAGAGCGGGCAGCCGTGCTGTGGGCCTTTGCACGTCTTTCCTTGTGTAACAAGAGAGTAAGAGCTGACGTTATTGAGTTCCTGTTATGTGCTGGCCACTCTACCAGATTCTTTTTATGTGCTTTTTCTCATTTTACTCTCTCCATAACCCTGGGGGAAAGCTATTATTTCAGTAGTCCCATATGACTGGTGAAGAAACTGAGACTTACAGAGATTAAGCCAGTGTGGTGGACAGTGGACTCCAGGGCTGCCTGACTCAAAGCCTGGCTTCCTTCCACGGGCCACACCACACTTACGTGAGGCCACTGCACGTGTCTTCTCTCTCCTTGGTTGTTGCTATTTCTCATGGATTAATTCTTCCATTCCTCAACTATTTAAGGGCTGACAACGTCTTAATCTTTTTTAAATCTGAGCAGGCATTTACTGAGTGCCTTCTTTGTATTAGCACCGTGCTAGACTTTTAATACAGCATTTGCTGCTTGCAACAGTAGTATTACTATCCTGTTTTATAGATGAGCCAATGAAAGCTCATTCATCTGAGATCACATGAGCAGTAAGTTGCAGAGCCCAACTGGATCCCACATCTGCCTCTCTGCACGCCCTTTGCTGTTCCCACTACACACCCCGAGTCCTGCATTGGCCTGCTTTCTAGGCTCACTCCTCTGCTTAGTTCATTAGTTGTTGGTGCCTGTCTTCCCAGACAGACTCTCGTTTCCAATGTGACGATGACTTGATCGCCATGCTATCCCTAGCATCTAGCACAGCCCCAGGCACATTTTAAATGTTAACTGGAATAATCAAATGTCCACTTATTACATGTAATCCTCACAGTGTATTTAGATGTTATTAATATTCATTCCCATCTTTCAGACAAAAAACTTGTGAGCCTTTGAGAAGTTGCACAGCTTGTGGAAGGCTCTGTCACTAGGAAGTGGCAGAGCTGGGGTTCAAGCCTCATTTTCATCTGAGCTGACAGTCAGTGCTCTTTTGATTGCAGGCAGCACGGCCAAATACACAGCAGGGGCCCTGAGAGACTTACAGTGAGGCTGACTTTGTTGCTAAGGGCTCACAGTCCATTTGCTCAAGTCCTGGGTCCTAAGGAGGAGGGCAGGGTGTTTCCTGAACACCGTTTCCCTCAGTGCCGAGAGTGGTGCCTCCTTGACACCACTCGACAGGTACCTGCTTCTGTTTCCTCCTAGGTCTTTGAGGTACTGTGACCTGCGCCTGATAAACTCATCCTGCTTGGTGAGGACAGCCCTGGAGCAGGAGCTGGGCCTGGCCGCTTACTTTGTGAGCAACGAGGCTCCCTTGGAGAAGGGGGCTCGGCACGAGGCCTTGGAGAGCGATGGAGAAAAACTGAGCAGCACAGACAACGAGGATGAGGAGCTGGTGACAGACGGTGAGGGTGGGCAGCCCCGCGCCTCTGTTCCTGCCCTCTTCTAGACAGCTGCTCCCGTTTGCGTGGCCTGGGGCCTATCTGCTGGGCAGTAGCTCCGGATGAGAGCTGTCTAGATACGTCTTTGGAGGAAATGGCAAATCCCTTGTTGAATTTAGATTTTGCTTTTTTTTTTTTTGGTGAGGAAGATTGGCCCTGAGCTAACATCTGTTGCCAGTCCTCTCTTTTTGCTGAGGAAGATTGGCCCTGGGCTAACATCTGTGCCCATCTTCCTCTACTGTATATATGGGATGCTGCCACAGCATGGCTTGATGAGCAGTGCATAGGTCCGTGCCCAGGACCCAAACCTGTGAACCCCGGGCCGCCGAAGTGGAGCACACGAACTTAACCACTAAGACACTGGGCTGGCCTCCCAGGTTTTGCTTTTTTCCCTTTCTTTTGGTGGTGTGAGAAAATAGAAATCCTGATAGGTGCTTCCTAGCTCTAGATTTCTTAAAAAATAGGAAGAAAAATCGAGATTTCTCAGGGTTCAAGTTCATGCTTTGTTTAAATTGTTGGTGGAATTACCATATAGCTGTTATAAGATTCACTCGCTTATTTCCTTTATGTAAGTCAACTTAACAATATGTGCCACTGAGATTTATGAAAACAGACCAATTTCATTTGTAGACGAGAAAATCTGATACCATATTTTTAATAGGACACATAAATCAGAGCAGTGCAAGGCATTTGGCTGTAGTCAACAGGACAGTGAGAGAAAATAAAAAGCTGTTAATATACAAATGCAAAGCATTTGTGGGGTGTGGTGTAGTGGAAAGAGAGAGAGATTGTAGGGTCAGAAGACCAGGACTCCTCCTCCTCCTCCATCCGCTAGCTGTGACTTTGGACAGGTCGTGTCCCCTCTCCCAGCCTCAGTTTGCTCCTCTGTAAAATGGGGACTGCAAGACCTGCCGGACAGACTTCCCTGGTGCTGAGCAGCCTTTCACAGACGTGAATGTGACCCTGATATTAAATTGCCTCAACCTCCCTGTTCCCCGTGGGACGACTCCAGATTCCTGGTGTTTCCCGACCCACCTCTTCAGGTTCACCATTCGCTCCTCTTAACTCTCCCGCCCCTGGCCCGTGCCCCGTGCTCTTGGCCACACTTACCTTGTAGCGGTTGCCTGGCTGTGCTCTGCTCTTGTCACCTCTGGGCCACACAGGTGCTCCCTGCCCTTTGAGTTGTGTCTCCTGGGTTTCACCTGGAAACCCCTGTGTCCCTTCAGGACTCAGGTCGGGGTGGCCTCTTCCAGGAAGTTCCCCTGCTCCTGCCTCCCTGTGCTGGGTGAGAGCCTGGCCCTCGGGCTCCCAGGGCCCTCGCTCTTTGCCCCCCTTACACCATCTTGTGGCCGTGACTCCCGGGCGGGAGCCCCCGCTGAACCGTGAGCGCCTCGCTGGCCTGGCCTCGTCTCCCTCCTCCTGTCTCCTCAGTGCGCCGTCAGCGGTGGGCGCCTGGAAGGTGGCAGCTGCGTGGGTGGCTGGATGAGGACAGAGGAGAGGTGTGAACGCACTTTGTAAACTGAAGTGCTGGGCGAAGGTACGGGGCGATGACTACGGGTGTCTTCAGTGTGTGTATTTTGAAACAGGCTCCACCTTGGAGAAGAGGAGCCCCGTGAAGAGGGAAAGATCCTGCTCTCACGATTCAGCGTCTTCCTCTCTCTCCTCTAAAGCCTCCAGTAAGTCTCCACACGGGAAGGGTCCTACGGTTGGACCTTTTTGAGATTTCAGAGACTGAAAAGAGATCCTTTATTTTCACCTAGAACTAGAAAGAGAAGGAAATCTTTCAAGAACTGGACTTTCTACAGAGCAAACGTTTTTCTTGGTTGGGGTCTGGGGATGTGAGGAGTTCGGGCAGGGCCTCGAGGTTCAGTGGCTCCGGCCCTGGGAGAAGATGGAGGACTCTGCCCCCTGCTGTGGCCTGTGCTGGGCGGTGTCAGAGGGTCGTGGCCTCAGTGCTCTCCGGGCAGCTCTTGGTTTGGGGAATCACTGCTCCCTCGGGAGGAGAGGAGCTGGGGTGAGCTGTTCTTGAGTCTGAGGGCAGAGACAAGTAGACACAGAAGACCCCACTGGGGAGAAGCACCGAAGGCAGCAAGTGTTCACTGACCCCTGGACCCAGACCGCACTTTGGTGGAAGGAGTGGGGAATGTGGATAAAATGCCCCGAGTCTCCGCCCTTGGGGATGCCTTTGTCTCCGAGAGCCTGCAGGACCCACACACACGAAACAATATCGCCTCTCTTCCCGCCGCGAACATTTAGTGAGAACCTACTAATACGTGAATCAGGGCATTGAAAGAGATATGATATGGACCTGCTCTCCAGGAATTCGTGGTTCCTCAGAGACCGTGTTATATTGTAATAGGGATTGCTCTGTTTTTTCTGGATGTGTATTCACGTGAAGTGCTATGGTCACCTGTGTGTGAAGAAGTCATTGATTTTGTCTCAGGTGGGGGCAGATTTAGGGGTAGAGTGTGGTCACTGCTGGTCTCAGAGAGCAGCTGACCTTTGACCGGGCCTTGAAGGAGAAGGTATTCCAGAGAGGAAACTTTACGGGTGGGGCAGGGTCAGGGCGAGAAAGTGTGTGTGGTGCTGGGGTGCAGTGAGTGGTCCCACGGGCTACAGCTCAGGGTGCAGGTGGGGGCCTGGCTGTGGTCAAGGCGTGGCTGCTGGGTTGTGTGGTCTGGTGGGGAGAGGGTGGCACGGATGTCAGCACAGCAGGGGATTTGGCCCGGGGGCATCTTTGGCCTTGTCACCTCATGCAGCCTGTGGATAACAGTGAGCCAGGTGGGTGGGGTCTCCCTCCCAGGTGTGCGCAGAGGGAGTCAGAAGAGGCCTCCTTAACATCGACTGGAGCTCTGTGACAGGCAGATCTGATTCATAGGCTGGGGTAAGTCAGAAAAACCCAGTGCTGCAGCCTCTGGTATCCTTGGTATCCTTAGTCTGCCCCAACCAACATAGGGAGCCTGGACCACCAGGGAGGAGCTGACCAGTGGGTGAATGAATCCATGCCATTCAGAATAGAGAGGTGTGGTGCTTTGTTCTTCTTCGATCCTGGCCTGACAGCTTTCTAGAAGGTTCTGGGGACATGTTGGTCTGTGCCGTGTCTTCAGGTGGAGTAGAATGTCTAGGCTGTTAGCCAGGCTCTCTCTTCCTTCTGGAATTCTCCAGTCAGGTGAGGTGATTTTTTTCTCCAGTCAGGTGAGGTGAGGATTTTTCAGAGGGTCCTGAGATCTTAGGGGTCTCTGATGAGATGCTTCTCGTGGCCTTGGGTACAACCCCCACATTTCAGGGATGAGGACACAGAGGCCCAGGGAGGTGAGACTTGGCCACGGCCACACGAGTCAGAATGAGGACCCAGGCGGGGCTGGGTCCCATCTTTATAGACCGACAATCCCCCTGGATTCACCTGGGACAAACCAACTGAGGCCTGGGGGTGGATGGAGAGATGCCAGTGTGGGTCTCTGTCCTCAGGGTCCTGCCAGGCTGCCCTCACACCTAGGCAAGTGGGTGAAGACATCGGGGTTCCCTCGGTCTGCTTTTGGGACCTCATGCCTCTTTCGTGTCCTTGTGCCCATCTGTCCCCCTTCCCCCCGGGCCAGGTGCCTGGGTCCCTCACAGCCTCCCCATCCCTGGTCTTCAGCTCCTCCATTGACCCTGAGCCGATCACTTCAGGTGCCTTGTCCGAGGGAGAGGCGTTTCAGCAGGAGTCAGGCCTCCAGCAGGGGGGACAGGCCAGCGCTGTGTTTCCTCCCTCCACGAGCATCTGTAACCGAGCGCTAGATGCAGGCTGCAGGGTTGAGGAGGACAGCTCTTGCTGGTGGATCCGGAGAGAGGTGGCCTGAGCCGTGTGGTGAGGGAGGTACCGGCTGAATCAAGAGCCCCAGGGTGGCAGGAAGCCTCTCCGAGGAGGGTGGAGAAGGGATACCAGGCCTGCCTGGGAAATGGCCTCCTTCAGTCTGTCCTCTCTTGGTACCGTCTCCTGGGAAACGGCAGAGCTAAGATAGAGATGCAGTGTCCTGTCTGCCCTGCTTTCTGCGGAACCTGAGGTCTGTAGGGTTGCTGTGAGGTGACATGCAGGCACTGGGCATATGTGGTTGGAATGATTTAAAAGACAGGGCCAGGGTGCTGCTTCTGTGTGTCCAGGTGACCCACATTCACCTTGGCTCTCAACACGGTCCACATGGGGGCGGGGGCAAAAGAAACTCCGTATTTGGGTAGCTGCTGTGCATGCTGCCTTTCCCATCTTGAATTCTCACAAAAACTAAGTAATCATAGCATGAGATTAAAGCCTGTTGTGTCCTGTGAGTTTTGCTGCCAGTTTAAACTTGAAGCTCCCCCCCTACCCCGGAGTGTAAGTTGAGCCCTGAAGGTGAGGGGTTTGTAGCTGGAACAGACTAGGGCAGGGGTTGCAAAGCAGAGGCCTTTGAGGGCTTCCCTGTGCAGGATGTTGGGATGGGTGAGGGATGATGTCATCCCATGTGGGTGGTGCTGGCTCTCTCCCCGCAGCCTATCTTGGCTTTGTTAGAGGACCAAAGAGTTGATATTTAACCAGAGGTAGAACATTGTTAATGAGAATTCCCAGGAATTTTCAAGGAAAGGTCGTCTGTGCTGCAGCAACAGGAGCGGCCGGCAGGTTTTGCAGCTGGTCATTCCTGGGCGTGACTGACAGTTCCTCTCTCCCCAGGCTCAGCGCTCTGTGGCGAGTCCTCCGCGCAGCCTGGAGGCCCCTCGCAGGGGGAGCGGGCCAGATCGCCGCAGCCCTGTGGCCCTTCAGAGGAGAGCAGGGCCCCTGGTGAGAGACAGAGGCTCCGAGCGAATCGGGGTCCACCCTCGGCCATCAGCAGGCACAGCCCCGGGCTGGCCCCCCAGCCTGACTGCAGCCTCAAGACCAGCCAGAGGAGCATCCAGGTGTCTGTCACCTCGTTGTCCTCCCAGCTCTCCTCCTCGGGCTCGTCCTCCTCGTGCACGGTGCCCGCCGCCAGCACGCTCGTCCTGCAGGCCCCCCAGTGCTCCATGACGAAGGCCTGCCAGCAGCCGCCCATTGTCTTCCTGCCCAAGCTGGTGTATGACATGGTCACGTCCACCGACAGCAGCGGCCTGCCCAAGGCTGCCTCGCTCCTGCCCTCCCACTCAGTCATGTGGGCCAGCTCCTTTCGCCCTCTGCTCAGCAAGACAATGACATCCACAGAGCAGTCGCTGTACTACCGGCAGTGGACGGTGCCCCGGCCCAGCCACATGGACTACGGCAACCGTGCCGAGGGCCGTGTGGACAGCTTCCACCCGCGCAGGCTGCTGCTCAGCGGGCCCCCTCAGGTGGGTGCTGCCCTGTTGGGGCCTGGACTCTGTGGGGTTCTTGTGTTTATGCCCAGAGGTCAGGTTTGGGGCTGACAGCATCCCCTTATTCACGTCTTGCTATTCCCACGGTGGATTCTCTGATGGCCCTACAGTGGGTGGGTGGATGGAGGTCGAGAACCGCCTGCTGCCCACGGCTGGGTGACTTCTGTCCTCCGACTTGAGTTTCCTCCTTTGCGTGTTGTGAGGGTGGAGAGCTTGTCTGTGGGTGCTTCCCACTCCTTCAGGCTACAATTCTGCATTTCCCACGTTATTTCATTTGGTCCTCGTGGCCAGTCTGCGTGGTTTGCTCACACTCTAATGGTTAGAAACAACCCCCGGTTTGCACTGGAACATTTGGTGACACATAATGGGGAGGCAGGAGGCTGTTTCCCCATCCCAGCTCTCCCCCAGCTCATTGTGTTTCCCTGACAACGAAAGACCATTTCACCTGTCAAAATGGCAGACGTCTGCAAGGCGTGAATGTCAAGTGTCGTGAGCATGTGAGCAAGACTGTAAGTTGGTGTCGGGTCTTGGGAGGGGCTTTGCCAGAACAGTGCAGAGGTGGGAGGTGGGCCCTGGCCTGGACTGCCAGGGGTCAAATTCTGACTCAAACCAAGTCACCAGATGCCCTGGGCAGGTTCCAGCCTCAGTGTCCTCATCTGAGACTAAGGAAAATAATAGTACCGATGTCATAGAAATGGGATTATTAAAGGAGAGATTAATTGCAGGGCACCTAGAATATAGCCTGACACATAGAAAGCACGTGATAAATGTTATTGTCAACATCTTCTCAATTCCATCACTGTCACAATTCAAGACATGCTGCCTTCTGACTCAGCATGTTCATTTCCTTTCCAGGAATCTATCCCAAGAAATAGAAACCCACAAAATATGAATAAGAATGCTTATTTTAGTATTGTCTATAATAGTAAAAAAACAAACTGTAAACAACTTAAATTCCATTGGTCAAGGTTGGTTGAATAAATTTGGGCACAACTGTATCACAAAATTCAGCCATAGAAATTGTGAGATAGATCTCTATACTAACACTGAAATTTCTCCAAGATACTTGTGTTAAAAAATTGAATTGCAGAATATTATATACATAGCATAATATCACTTAGGAAAAAAAGACACACATAGTGATGTGTATGTGTCTGTGTGTGTGAAAATATCTAAAAAAATCCCTGACAGGATTGCCACTAGTTACTGGGGAGGGAATGGGATTTGTGAACATTCTTCTTCCTTGTCAATTTGTATTTCTTGAGCTTTTAAATGAGTATATATTACCTTTTGTAATTTAAAAGAGGGAATCCCAGTTTCTCCATACCCTCACATTACTGGATGTTATCAATCTTGAAGACGTTTGCCTATTTGATAGAGGAAAAATAGTATATTATGGTTCTTTTAGTAAGGTTAACTATAGTCTTATTTATTTATTTATTCATTGGTCATTGGTACTTCTTTTACAGTGATTTTCTGGTTTGTTTCTCTTGTTTTTCCTTTAGGCCATTTGACTTCTTCCTGTTACTTTGTAAAAGGAGCTCTTTAGAGATTATGGATTTTAATCCCTTGTCTATTATATGTATTGCAAATATTTTCTCTGAAGCTTCCCCAGTTGTATTTCATATTTTCTTTTTTAAAGTTAGTTATTTCTGTTCATCAGCATTTGTTGAATACTTATTGTGAACCAGGTATTGAGCTAAGAACTTGGAAAGCACATTCCTAGAGTAACAGGTGGGAGGGGAGGGTTCTAGGTTAGCTCCCGGGGGCTCATTTAACCAATTGTGACCTAAATGAGCTACGACCAGTAGTATGCTAGCCTGGTGCAGGATGAGGAGCAGGGGTCTCTATGATGCAAGAAGGAAGAAGAGAAAATCGTTTTATTTCTTTTCCTGGGCTTAGGTGGAGAGAAAGGAGATGATGACTTTTTACGTCTTGCACAATGAATTTTGTTACTTTACTATAGACGTATTGGTTAATACAAGAACAGTGATTTGCAAGTATGCAAGACTCTCTTAAGACATTATGTTTTATATTAGCAGTCGTTTTTTTGAAGCAAACTTTCTTCAGCTTGTGATAAAGTCCTATTTCCAACAGCTTAAAAAATGTGGCCAGTTAAAACTGGAGATTTATAAGCTGGCAAGTCCGCTGCTCGTGGGAGTCCGTCTGCCCGCCTGCCGTGCTCCTTTTTTTTTTTATAATTTTATTTATTTATTCTTTTCCCACCAAAGCCCCAGTAGATAGTTGTATGTCATAGCTGCACATCCTTCTAGTTGCTGTATGTGGGACGCAGCCCCAGCACGGCCGGAGAAGCGGTGCGTCAGTACGCACCTGGGATCCGAACCCGGGCCGCCAGCAGCGGAGCGCACACACTCAACTGCTAAGCCACGGGGCCAGCCCTGCCATGCTTCTTTGGGCTACGTTTCCCCTCGAATGTCTTTGCACCCACCGGGCTCTCATTTTAATTAGGTGACATCTTTAGAAGAGATAGATGCCGTGAGGCTCGTCGGGCTCCGGCCAGCACCTATACGGAGACAGGGTGCACTGACTGCTGGCTCTGATTTTGATGTCCTTACAGATCGGGAAGACAGGCGCCTACCTGCAGTTCCTCAGTATTTTGTCCAGAATGCTCATTCGGCTGACAGAAGTGGATGTTTACGATGAAGAAGAGATCAATATCAGTGAGTTATCCATTGGTGATACTTGGGTTTAGAAGCCTCATTAATCAGTTTCTCAAGTGACTTTAATTGTGTCTTCTACTTTCTGATGGAATTCTCAGATGGAAGATCAGACTCATCCCAAGGGCTGTGTAGAGTGCACTTATCTTTCCCTTGTAGTCATTTTGCTCAATATCAGAACAGTGCCTGGAGGCCTTTGTGGGGATAAAATTACTGTCCTAAAAATAACTGCTGTTTACTGAGTAACTTTCACATGTCAGGCCTGTGCTCGATACTTGACAGAAATTACCACATTCAGTTTTCTACACAACACCGTGAGATAGTGCTCCATTTTCCTGGGAAATAACGTGCTCAGGAGCCCTGCTGGGAGGTGGCAGAGCTAGAACTAAACTAGATTTGATCACTGCCTCCAGAAAGTGGAGTTCTCCATCAAGGGAGGTTCCCCACTCCGGTGACTGAGCGCATAGGTCAGTATCCTGGGGCATAATGGAAGTAAGTTTGTGATATGTGGGAAACAGCCTTTTCCCCTTATTCACGGAACAGAATTTACCTGATTAAGGTAAGAGTCTCTTAGAGCAGCTGATTAATGCTAATTGTAAAGCTCTTCCTCCATTTCCTCTTCATAGGCCCCTCCAGTGGCTCATAAACTTGGTCTGTTGCTTTGGGAATGAAAATTCGTTTAAAGAGTCCTTTCTGTGTTGTAGAGAAAGGGCACCAGTCAGCTGTACTGGCTTCTAGCAGCGCTTCTTTTTATTCATTTTTATTGTATATATTTAAGATGTACAACTTGATGATGTGAAATACGTATCTGTTGTGAAATCACCACCACAATCAAGCTAATTAACATATCCATCTCCTCACATAGTTCCCATGTTCACTGCAGCATTATTCACGATAGCCAAGATATGCAAACAACCAATTGTTGTCCATTGATGGATTAATGTCCATCGGCAGATGAACGGATAAAGAAAATGTGGTGTATACATACAACGGAATATTATTCAGCCTTAGATAAGAGAGAAATCCTGCTATTTGCAGATACAGCACTTCTTTAGATGCTCTTGATTGTGTTTGAATTTCGACTTGGAGAAGGTTTGGAACAAGAAAGCCCATCTAGCCGTTGGTCTTTCGTTTAAGGAGAAAGGAAAGAGGCTCTTCATGCCAGCTCTGAGTTTCCCACGGTTTCCCCACAGTTTGGACTATAGTTCAGATGCAAAGCAACAGGCCTATTGAGTTTTTGTCTCCTCACTTTCTTGGATACACAGATGGTCCCCGAATTACGATGGTTCAACCTGTGATTTTTCAATTTACGATGGTGCGAAAGTGATATGCATTCATTAGAAACCGTACTTCAAATTTTGAATTGTGATCTATTCCTGAGCTAGTGCTATGCTGTATGATCCTCTCATGATGCTGGGCATTGGCCGTGATTCACAAGTGTGAAAAACCAATCAGTTACAACCATTCTGCACCCAGACAACCATTCTGTTTTACACTTTCAGTACAATATTCAGTAAATTACACGAGATAGTCAACAGTTTATTATAAAATAGGCTTTGTGTTTGATGATTTTGCCCAACTGTAGGCTAATGTAAGTGTCATCAGCACGTTTAAGGTAGGCTGGGCTAAGCTATGATTTTCGGTAGGTTAGGTGTATTAAATGCATCTTTGTCTTATGACTTTCGACTTACGATGGCTTTATCAGGGCGTAAGCCCATTATAAGTAAAGAAGATCTGTACCAAAGATCAAGGCAGGATTTGAACGCAGTTTCTTAAACTTCAAAGCCCATTTTCTCCAATGCTCTCTTACTGCCTTGGGTGTCTCTCCCTCTTCTATCCTTTCTTCTCCTTCTTATGGACATGTACTCTGCCCATGTATACAATATAGTAGGATAGGTAGATACAGATACAATGATATATATCTCAATATCATACATATATATAAAATCGACATGTTACATAATTTGAATTGGAACAGCTAGATTTTTTTTTACTTTTTGGCCAGCAAGCATTTAGCGAGCGCCATACACTACACCAATTATAACGTAAGGTGATACATGGCAAATGTAAAAATGTGTTGTGGGCCATGAGTGGTGTTGGCATTCAGAGGGGAGGAACCAATGGGCCTGAGCCTTAGAAGAGACCTTCTAGAGGTGCAGTATAGGAGGCAGGCCATATCAGCTGGGTAGCATTTACATATAGGAGCAAGAAAGACACCTACGTTAGGTTCCACTGGTGGTGGGAGCCAGTGTGGTATATTTGGGGGATGGTGTTGGAGAGAAGCACAGAGGTCAGGATGTTGGGAAGAGTTGTAGTGCAAGAGTCAGAGAAACAAACCCATTCTATAGGAAGCATAAGGCTGTTCCTCTGGATAGAGATAGATCTGTCTTGCCTCATTAGAACAATCCTGAAGATGGGATATGTGCCAGGAGCCTTTGAGATACAGTGGAGTTCCTGCAGAAACCCATAGACTCGGTAACAATTCCACTCCAAGCTTCATCCTTGTGCACATTTCAAATAAATCATTCTCACTCCTATTTTGTCACATATCTGTGTTTCTACCAATCTTGTAGACTTCAGAGAAGAATCAGATTGGCATTACGTCCAGCTCAGTGACCCCTGGCCAGACCTGGAGCTGTTCAAGAAGTTGCCTTTTGACTACATTATTCACGACCCCAAGTATGAGGATGCTAGTCTGATTTGTTCACACCATCAGAGCATAAAGAGTGAAGGTCAGATTTTAAATCTCTTGCTTCGCCTTCTTCCAGAGTGCATGGGAATAGCCTCCTAAAGGGATGAGCTGAATTTTGTTAGTGATGAGCTGAATTATCTGGTGGTGGTGAGTTAACCGGCAGTGCCTCCTAGAGAACTGAGGTGGCCACCTCAGTGGACAAGGAAGGGCTCTTTACAGAACCCATGAGGAAGACTGGCTGCTCAAGAGGTGCTGATGACGATGGGGACACTCTTGGTGGTTTGTCGTGGTCAGAATATTCTGAAGGTTCTGGTTAATAGAGAATAAAACACATGTATGTTTATTTATCAATTTGAATTGTAACGAAATACACATGTTTCCCTCCCTGTCCTCAGGCTCTTGTTTTCTCCTTCTTCAAGGACCACTGACTTTCATAGTATTATGACCCTGCAGGGTTTCAGGGTCACCATCAGCAAACATTGAGTGTTAGTGGCCGGTGTGATTGTAAACACTGACTAGGAAAGTTTGGTGAATACAATGTGAGAGGAAAATACTCACCAGAATCCATTTCAAACCAATAATTTTATCTTCATTGCTCTCAGAATAGATCACCTTCACTGCAGGGTCCTTCACACAGACCAGTCTCTAATGAAGGTCAAGTGTTCAAAGCTTTGTTTTTTTTAAGGAAGATTGGCCCTGTGCTAACATCTGTTGCCAATCTTCTTCTTTTTCTTTTCTCTCCAAAGCCCCAGTATGTAGTTGTATATCCTAGTTGTTGATCCTTCTAGTTCTTCTATGTGGGGTGCCACCTCACCATGGCTTGGTAAGCAGTGAGTAGGTCTGCATTCAGGATCCGAACCGGTGAAGCCCGGGCCACTGAAGTGGAACGCGTGAACTTTACCGCTATGCCACCTGGCCAGCCCCAAGTGTTCAAATCTTAATCCTGCTAAGTCATTTGAAAAAATGGGGGCAACTCATCTGCTTACAGTATTTGCATATTAAGTTGGCAATCGATTTACATTGTCACATGGCAAGTCCTTGAATACGTGTTTATAAAACATTTGTAGGCCCACGAATGAGACACCAGGTGAACAGTCTGTTTATCCCGCTGAGACTGTCGTTTCTGACCAGCTGAGTCCCCTCAGGGCCCAGACAGACAAGAGGCCGTCCTAGTCAACCACCTAGGATAGCGTTTCAGTTTGAGTAGACAGGGGAGAGGATATTTGTTCTGCCTCCTGCTGCTCCTTAATGCTGGGGATTTCGTGCAGACAGAGGGATGTCCCGGAAGCCGGAGGACCTCTATGTGCGGCGTCACACAGCGCGGATGAGGCTGTCCAAGTATGCGGCGTATAACACGTACCACCACTGTGAGCAGTGCCACCAGTACATGGGCTTCCACCCCCGCTACCAGGTAGGACACTGGGGCCCACGTCTCAAGGGGCACTTCAGGCAGCTCTCTGCCACGTGTTTCACCTTGGCTAACGCCGTTATTTTCATGTTCTGTGTTGTCATTTGGAGAGGGAGATGGAAAGTTCTGGAAGCCCTTGCTTCCTGGTCTACTTGCATCCTCGGTTTCCTTCAATAATCTGTGAAATTAGTGCTGACACTACAGAAGAGTGATTCTCCTGGTGTTACACATAAATTAGTGGCGAAGTTAACTGACTTTCGATGTCTTACTTTACATCCTAGCAATTTCAAAAGTTAGCTCATGGGGCCGGCCCGGTGGCGCAAGCGGTTAAGTGCGCGTGCTCCACTGCGGCGGCCCAGGGTTCGCCGGTTCGGATCCCGGGCTCGCACCGACACACTGCTTGGCAAGCCATGCTGTGGCGGCGTCCCATATAAAGTGGAGGAAGATGGGCAGATGTTAGCCCAGGGCCAGTCTTCCTCGGCAAAAAAAGAGGAGGATTGGCAGATGTTAGCACAGGGCTGATCTACACACACACACACACACACACACACACACACACACACACACACACACACACACAAAGTTAGCTCAGTGCAGCAGGCGTGTACTGAGTGCTCATTATGTACCAGACACAGACACAGAGATGAATAAGGTTGTCCGAGCGCTCAAGACTGTACTTACTGAGCACCCACTATGTGCCAGGCAGTGTGCTAGGCCCTTCTTAAGTCTCAGTATTTCCCAATTTTATTACATGATAGAAGATGACATTTGCCTTGGAGGCTGGTAAATGGATAAGCTACTGACCCAGGGCTCTGGCTGTCCCAGGCTCTGGCTGGTCACCTGAAGGGGTCTGTGTTCAAGCCACAGGGTACACTGGTTAGGAAAGTGTCCTGTCTAGTTTCTTATGTGATTCTCACTAAAACTCCACAAGGCAGCAGCATTATCCCCATTTTATAAATGAAGATCTATCATGGGCAGGAAGCAGAAGAGAAGATTTTGGAGAATCAATAGGAGTTTGCCAGGGGGCCAAGGCAGATAGAAGGAGAGGGAACAGCATGTGCAAAGGAGGGGAGACATGGGGTCTCTGGGGGAATTAGAAGTGATTTTAGTTGGCTCTTGCTGGAGCGTAAAGTGCAAGGGGTCGGTAGTCCCAGCAGAGGGAGCTGGAAAGGTGAGGCAGAGACCAGACCACAACAGGCCTCGATGCCATGGGGACAAATGTGGGCTTTTTCAGCAAGAACTCGAAGGAGGGGCCTGAGGTGGCTAAAGCGGCATTTTGGATAGTCTCTTCATAGCCACGTGGAGGTTTACAGAGGGCCTGTGAGGCTGATTATTTAGAAACAGATAGAGGGTAGGATTTTATACTGAGTGTTTCTTTTCATTTCAGACCCAAGCAAGGGAGCGGGGAGGAGGGAGCAGCTGGAGCTGGTGGGAGCCAGTCAGACGCCTGCACCGCAGACAGGCATGCAGGCTGGCTCATGCCCTTGGCTGCTTCCAGAAGGGCCCGAGGCGGCAAGAGCCCTGGCTTGCTCTCTCCGTCCCTTTTGCAGAGGGAGCAGCAAACCGTGGCTTTAATTTTCCCAAGTCTGTCTGGCCTTGAGCTTAGCTGCCAATGAAGCAGCACCTGTTTTCTTTTAGTACTAATTTTTTTTTCAGTAGGCAATTTTACTGTAGACAAAATTAGAAAATACATATGAGCAATTTCTTAAAGGATTAAAAATAATCGATAATCCCATTTGCTCCAGACAAACTCTTCTAACACTTTTTTCCCTTGGAGGTGAAGTTTTTCTTTCAAGGCGGAGAAAAATATAAGTGAAAACGTTTTGATTTTGAAATTTAAATAACTGAAGAGACTCGAGGGTTTTAGTCACTAGTCACTTCAGTAAGCGTCAACAGTGAATTAATAGAAGAACAGAGCATGCGAGAGGGAGGAGAGCGATCCTGCGTTCTGGACCATCGCACCCGGTCTATGTTCAGGGGTGCTTGGGTCGGGGGTCACAGCTGAAGGCGACTTGCAGCGAAGCCAAGTGAGGCGCGCTAAGGGGTGAACACTAGCTCCCGCTGGCATTCCCGTGCCCCATGCCTCTGCTCATTCCGCTCTCTTCCCTCATCTCTCAAGGCTCCTGGACATCTTTTTCTTTTTTTTGAAAGATTCACCTTGAGTTAACATCTGTTGCTGATCTTCCTCTATTTTGTATGTGGGTCACCACCACAGCATGGCTGACAAATGGTGTAGGTCTGTGCCTGGGATCTGAACCCATGAACCCGGGCCACTGAAGCAGAGTGTGTGGAACTTAACTGCTACGCCATGGGGCCTGGCCCAAGTCTCCCGGATATTTTTTTATGAAATTTCCTCAGTTGCATCCCTCTTTGTTCCTTCCCCAGGTCAAAATCTATATCTCTCATCTCTGCTCCCAAGGGGCTTTGTGGTTCCAGTAGAGAAAGAGTAGGATTTTAAAGCCAGTATGTCCTGGCCTGCGTCCGCCCTCTCCAGTCTTTGGTGATTCCCGGGCAGGCTTAGCCAGACTAGCTGCGAGTCTGCAGGAGGAGCTGTCGGCTGGAAGGGTGAGGGGTTAGGGAAGGCTGTTCTGTGGATGCTGAGCTGAGGTCTGAAGGAGGCATAAACATGGCTGGGAAAAGCTGGCTGGGAGGTCACACCGGAGAGCAGCATGGGCACAGGTGGGGGAGGTCACACCAGCGAGCAGTGTGGGTGCAGAGTGGGGAGGTCACACCAGAGAGCAGCATGGGCACAGAAGGGGGAGGTCACACCGAGAGCAGTGTGGGCACAGATGGGGGGAGGTCACACCGAGAACGGTGTGGATGCAGATCGGGGGAGGTCACACCAAAAGCAGCGTGGATGCAGATGCAGGAGTGAGGGAGGCTGGAGTCCATGGCTCTTTAGACAAAGTGACTAGGGGTGAGGCTAGTCTTCAGGATGAGATTGAGCCCATGACCTCTGAATGTCTGTTTTTGCATCCATAAAATGGGGATGGTGACAGTACCTGCTTAATAGGATTGTTAATTACAATGCAAAGGGGATGGAAGAGGGCCTGGACATAGTAAGTGTGATCGAAGTGTACAAGTGTACGGAATTACAGTTATTGTTTTAATACACTGTTACACATAAGCCTGTGATGGAAAAATACACTTAGAATTAAAAATGAAATCTAGGGGCCAGCCCCGTGGCCTAGTGGTTAAGTTCGGTGTGCTCTGCTTTGGTGGGCTGGGTTCAGTTCCCAGGCGCAGACCTACACCACTCCGCAGCGGCCGTGCTGTGGTGGCAACCCACATACCAAAAAATAGAGGAAGGTTGGCACAGATGTTAGCTCAGGGCGAATCTTCCTCAGCAAAAAGAGGATGGTTGGCAATGGATGTTAGCTCAGGGCAAATCTTCCTTAGCAAAAAAAAAAAAAAAAAAAACCCAGATCTGTAGTGTGACTGCTTTAGTTGGTAACTCAGCATGCTTCTGGGTCAAATCTAGAGTCCAGAAGGGGTTGGCACCTGAATGGCATCACTGGGTGAAGATGGGAGAATTAAAGATGGGAGAAGATTCTAGCTGAGTGGATATGGCCTCCAGTAGCAAGACCTGGGTGTCCATACTTGGTACTGGTGTCAACCTGGGCTTTCTCGTGCTGTGGGGCAGAGGTGGTAATAACCTCTGTGTACTCATGGCCACGATGGGCCTGGGTTCTTCTGGGAAGTAACGCTGGACTCTGATGACAAGCTCTGTCCTTTCCCCCTCGCACCTCAGCTCTATGAGTCCACTCTGCACGCCTTTGCCTTCTCTTACTCCATGCTAGGAGAGGAAATCCAGCTCCACTTCATCATCCCCAAGTCCAAGGAGCACCACTTCGTCTTCAGCCAACCTGGAGGCCAGCTGGAGAGCATGCGGCTGCCCCTCGTCACAGACAAGGTACTGGCTTTGCGTCCCAGTGGGTCAAATCAACATGACTGCACGTGACCACTGGGCTGGAGACCTAGAGACTGTTGTCACCTGATGAGTCGAGGGCATGGGGGGCAGGATGGAGAGACTGACGGGGTGATTGAACCTGGAGGAGGCTGGGGAGCACATGGGCCACCCAGTCACGTTTGAGCCTTGCTCTACCCTTTACTAGTTGTGTTATTGGAACCTGTCACTCAGTATCTCTAAGCCTCACTTTCCTCATCTGTAGACTTGGGCAGTAATAACTCTTGGAAAAGCTTGTTGTGAGAATTATTTGGAATAACTGGTATAAGGCACCAGCACAGTGCCTGGAAGATAACCAGAGCTGACTAGATGTTCTTCCCTTCCACTGTCTTGTCTTTCATGCTCTGTTAGGGGTCTTTTAAACAGCCTGAGGTAAGAATAGCATGGTGACTCCCTCAGGGCCTGTTACCCAACTTCACTGTTACTAACTCACAGCCCATCTTGTCTATGCCTCTCTCCTCTTTGCATTCCCGTGTTATTGGGAATCAAATCCCAGACATTGTATCATTCCACCCATAAAGATTGCAGTGTTTATCTCTAAAGGATGCATTTCCTCTCTTTTGAAGAGATTCTTCCTACTAATCCATCACCTCTGTGACCGTTCTTACAGAGTTGCTCCTCGTGGGGCGCTTCGTTTGACAGTTGCAGCCTGACCACCTCAGGCAACTTGCTGCCCTTGAACCATCCCAGTCCCTGTGAACCTTGTGTAGAAGCTGCTTTTCCTTCTCTGGAGGGTCACACGTCGTAGAGTTGAGCCTAGCCTTTCAGACCCAGCAGTCTGTTATCAAGCAGTGAAAACATCTGTAAAGCACCAGTGAGGCCTTTCTGTAAGGTGTCTCCTGCCCCGTTCTCTGGGGTCCGAGTGTAGCAGTGATGGAGGATTTGTTCATTGCTCCACTTTCCTTCCCAGCCAGTTCCAATCAGAGCTGGTACTGAGTACCAGCTGCCTGCACAGCTTTGTGGCAGGTGCTTTGAGGAATTCAGAGGGAGAAAAAGACCTAGCTTGGCCAGAGGAACTTATTGTTGAGAAAAGAGTGGAAGAAAACAGTTATTTATATAAAAGATTGACAGCCTGAGCGTATAAATAGCTAGGCTGTGTGGGTAAGTGATTGGGGGATGTAAGTTATACAGGAACAACATGTACTCAGATCACTCAGTGGGCCACCCCTCTCTGCTCCATGTGGTCTCTCTGCCTCCAGCAGACTTGCCCAGGCTTGTTCCTGGGAGGTTCGGAGAGGGTGCAGAATGTGTCAGTCCTCTTGAGGCCGGGCTCAGAGCTGGCACACTGTCATTTTCGACAAGGCTAAGCCAGACTCAAGGAGTGTGGAAATAGACTCCATCAATGAGATGGTGCAAAAGATGCTGCTGCAAAGTCACATTTCAAAGGGAGGAGAGTAATTGTGACCACATTTACAAACACATTCCCTCATTATTCCTATACTTTCCAGAGTCATGAATGTATAAAAAGTCCAACGTTCACTCCAACAACTGGCCGTCACGAACACGGACTCTTTAACCTGTACCACGCGATGGATGGTGCCAGCCATTTGCATGTGCTGGTCGTCAAGGAGTATGAAATGGCCATTTATAAGAAATACTGGCCCAACCACATCATGCTGGTGCTCCCGAGTATCTTCAACAGCGCTGGAGTCGGTAGGTAGTCTTCAACATGCCCTGCTCGGTGAAGTCTCTGTGAATGGAGACTTGAGACATTGTTCTAGGGATGAAAGTGTTAAACATTTTACATGAAGCTTTTTGACTTTTCAAGCTATTTTGATTTGTTGGAATATTCTTTTTTCTTTGATGTTTGGTTATTGATTGAATTCATGTTCTCAATTGTTAGAAAAGCAAGAACAAGCAGACAAATGTGTGTGCAAATTGGAGGAGTATTTTCCCCCCTGGAATTTCCTCTCCTGAGGCAACAGCCAGTAGTGATTGGATGAGGGACGCAGATTGGGACGTCGGGAGTGGCTGGCTTGGTGTGGGGCCTCGACGCGCAGTTCCAGTTCTCACTGGGGTTTTGTCTGTGTGGGTGTCTGTAGGACAGACCTGAGTCAGGGGTGGTTTTGCCCGTTTCAGGCGCCGCCCATTTCCTGATCAAGGAACTGTCCTACCACAACCTGGAGCTCGAGCGGAACCGGCAGGAGGAGCTTGGCATCAGGCCGCAGGACATCTGGCCTTTCATCGTGATTTCCGACGACTCCTGCGTGATGTGGAACGTGGTGGACGTCGACGGTGGCGGCGAGAGGAGCAGGTGAGGTACCTGCACCTGACGAGTAGGACACGTGCGCGGCTCTCTTTTCAGTGGGGAGTTCCCGTCCACCCTCTGGGGACCACAGGATGCCGTGTGTTAGGAGACGTGGCGGGTGGCGAACAGAGCCCCCCACGTGCAGACGCACGTTCCAAGCTTTGCTTTGAGTTTTAAATTTTTAAAAAATTTTATCGAAGTTAAATATATACAGAAAATCACACGATATATATTCAGTATAAAATATATACAAAAAGGAAAGTGTAATACATATACAGAAATTTTCACAAACTGAACGCATCCCTGTAACCAACTCCCGTCTGAAGAAACAGAACCTCACTGGCGCCCCAGAAGCCCCCTCCTGGTGCCCTCCAGTCCCTTCTGCCCGCCCAGCCTAACTCCAGACACCTAGCTGTGTTTGTGTTTTCTGTGTGACGTTAGGGAGTGTCACATCTGAGTGTTTCAACTTGGGGCTGCCTGATGACTTCCGGTTATTTTTGGCTTGTTTGTTTGAGAGACAACGTTAGGTTAGTTCACCTCTTTTGTGTTAGTGATATCCTAATGAAACAATTACCATTATTCACTGTTCTTCTAGAAAAAAGTGTTTTCTGTATGACAGAGCTGCACACGGCTTATGGGAACAGGGATCTGCTTTGCTTTGAGTATTCTCAGTGTTGCTTTTCCGAGGGCAGGAGCTTGGCTGACGGCCGAGATGGGAGAGCACTGAGCTTTTCATTCGGCCTTTCTGAATTTCATTCTGAAGTAGAAGTTGAAGTCCTGGAGTGTCAGAGCGGCCGGGGCCTTAGAGAGCTTAGGTTAAGCCCCTCAGTTGGGGAAAAGAAAGCTGAGGTCCAGAAAAGTGAGCAACTTGCCTGAGCCCTCGCAGACAGAACTCTCATCGGCCGACTCCCTGCCCTGGAGTCGCTCCCTTCGCCCGCCCTCCCGTGGCATCAGGTGTCCCTCACCGTCTTCACAGACTCAGACGCGTCAGTTGGGGGTGGAGGTGTTTACATGCTCCCTCCTTCCTTCCCCACTCTCTCACTAGGAATTCACAGCGGAAAGGCTCACTCTTGCCCCACCATTTTACCTTCAGATCTGTAAACCGGAAATGCAGGGTGGTTTGGCATGATGGAAGGAATGTGGGTTTTGGGGACACACAGCACTGTTCAAATCCGAGCCCTGTTGAGTGACACTGGGCAAGTTATTCGGAGCCACTTTTTCCTCATCTGTAAAATGGGGGTGATAATGCCCATGTCATAGGATTGCTGCGAGGATAAGTGATAATAAATTTGAAGTGCTTAGCACGCGTCTGGGTTGCGATGGATTCCATCTGCACCAGCCCCGCCCAGCATGTAAGGTTCAGTTGGAAAGCCAGCGTCCTGGCTGGGCCAGTCCAGAGGGCCTTGCTGTTGTTTGCCTGTCAACCTAGGATGTCACTCTCCGTCTTAAAGCAGGGAATTTTCCTGGTCGGAAAGAAACGTCTCTTTGAAGCACATCATGCAGCACATTGAGGCATCCCCCAACATCACCCACTACGCCCTGATCGGCATGCGGAAGTGGTCCAGCAAGACCGGGAGCCGGGAGGTGCGAGAGCCCTTCTCCCGATGCCACGTGCACGACTTCGTTGTCCTGAATGTGGACCTGACCCAGAACGTGCAGTACAACCAGAACCGGTGAGCTCCCGCCCCTCCGCGGCCCTCGGCACAGCCCACGGTCCCAGAGCCCCCACGAGCGGCAGCCTTGGGCCTGGAGGGTGGTCGCTCCTCCTTTCCCTGCAAACCCGAGGAAACCAGAGGCTTCCTGCCCCTAGCACTGGCCGGGCCATGCTTTCAGCCCTCACATTGTTTTGTGTTTTTGTTGTATAATTTTTTGGAGAGGAGATGTGCATAAGATCATTCAACTTCCTTTGTCAATTCACATGATACTGTCTTTAGTGAGTTACACTCTGCTACCTGTTTATGTATTTCTCTTGCTTTTTTGGCTCCCTCTCCAAACACATGGCTTTTTAGGAGCTTTAGCACTTAAGAAAACTATCAGGTAATTTCCATATGTCACTCTCGATGGATCTAGCCACAGAAATACTCAAATCTCAAGAAGAACCCAATCGCTAATGTTTATCGAGCATCTCTATGTGCCAGGCAGTGGACACACAGCCCAAGATGGTGTACACAGGAGTGTTGACTTTGGAGCCAGACGGACCTGCTGGGAATCTGGGATCTGCCACTTTTCAGCTTGCGGTTTAGCCCAGTGACTTGCCGTCTCTGAGCCTTGTTTTCCTCAGCTGTAAAAAGTGGCTAATGTTTTTACCCTGGGAGGTTTGTTGTTTTCTTTTTAACAAATAGATGAAACGGTGTGTGTCAGGTCCCTCACACGGTACCTGGCTGGTAGCATATGGTCAACAAGTGGCCGTCCTTCTGCAGTTTAAGCCTCAGGTGTACCCTCCCTTTCCTGGTGCAGACACATCACGGTTTGTCCTGTTTTCCTTGTTCATTCTGGCTTCTCTGCCTCCCTAGAGGAAGGTTGTTAAGGCAGGAACGAGCCTCCTCCACCTTCCTAGCCCCCAGTGCAGGGGTGCATACTCCAGATGTCCGGGTGGGTGAGCTGCCTCCAGGCCCATCTGCCCCCTCCTCTGGTCCTGAGCAGGTTCACGTGTGACGATGTGGACTTCAACCTGCGGGTGCACAGCGCCGGCCTCCTGCTGTGCCGGTTCAACCGCTTCAGCGTGATGAAGAAGCAGATCGCGGTGGGCGGGCACAGGTCCTTCCACATCACATCCAAGGTGAGTGCGGCCATATGCCGGATAGGCGTGTGCCCACTGGGTCTGCTGCCCGCACTGCCGTGGTGTGAAAACTGAGGGTGGGAGCTGGCGAGGAGGCCACATGGTTACCTTCGAGTCAGTGGGGTGGGCTTGACCGCTGGCTAGTGGTAGTCAAGGTTTTCAGTTGAGTCTGCTCAGTGCATATCCACCGCCAACCCTCCTGTGCGCTCCTGCCCGCCCGCCCTCTCCCTGATGGCTCCCGTGCATGTCTCCATCACGGCACTCGGTGCTCTCTGGTTTGGTTTCTCTGCTGGACAGAGCTCCTGGGGGCAGGTGTGGTGTCACCTGGACAGCGCCTAGCCGGCTAACTGTCTGAACGGCACTGATGCCCTAGCTTGATAGCTGTGCTGTCTGTCCACAAGCCGGCCTCTGGGTGGGGAGAGACAAGATCCGATTGTGTGGGTGCTGGCTGGGCAGGTTGGGAGAATTTTAGACATGAAGTCACAGCAAGCCCTCAGAGTTCTGTCTTCCAGGAGCCGTGTGGGGCTGGCCTATCCCCGCCTGAAGGTCTCTGAGCCGTGGGCCAGAGCCAGTCTCTGCTTTTCACCTCCTGTGTCCCCCAAATCTTGTGCTGATGACATCAGCTAGTTCTAATGCCAGCTGCCTCTTCCAGCCTCTGTCCCTCCTGGTGTCCACGAGCTCCTTATGTGGTTACCGTCCCTGAGCTGGGTCAGGTCTGAGTTCAGACCCAGTGCAGCCCCTACCTGCCCTTTCTCGCCAGCAGGGAGTGAAGCCTTCTCTAGGAGTGAAAGTCCATCCTCGTTTCTTTTGCAAAGTAGCAAAATACACAAATAAGAGGTCTGTCCTTCCAGAAAAACTTGGGGATCATTTAGTTAAGTCCTCTTGCCCCCTACCATTGAGATTTCTTTTTGAAATCGTATTAGATTTGTAGTTTAATTTGGGAAGAATTGCCATCTTTACCATATTAAGTCTTTCTACCGAAGAGCCTGATGTGCTTTTAAAACTAATTTTTCTTTTATTTCCCTCAGTATCATTTTTTAACTTTTAGGTATTTTATCTTTATTCCTATTGTGAGCATAGTCTTATTTTTCCAGTAAGTTTAATCGTATATTGATTATATATAAGACAGGTAGTAATGTTTTATAGTCTTTCATCTGAATGAAATAACTTGTTTTCCTTTATTGATTCATTTAGTATGTACTGAGCACCCAGTCCTTCACTCGGGAGTCTAGAGCCTGGCCGCTGAGGCCGACGTTCAGCAAATAAGTAGTGAAGTGCCGTTGTGATAAGCACGACAAGGGTGACGTGTGTGTCACAGGAGGACCTAACCTTGCTGAGGGTGGGGGTGGGAGTCTGTGTGAGTGTCCCTGAGGAAGTGACGTTAAAGCAGACACCTTAAGGATGAGAAAGAGCCACCTATCCAGGCACAGGGAAGAATCTGGGCGAAGGTGCCGAGGGGGTAGGAGCAAGGAGGTCAGTGTAGAAGAAGCATAAAGGGTGGGGGAGAGTAGCAGAGATGAGCTGGAGAAGTAGACAGGGCCTTGTTAGCCATGCGAATGTTCTAGACTTTTCTGTAGGAGTAACGAGAAACCATTGAAGGGTGCCCAGCAGGGGATTTGATTCGTTTTATTTATGTTGACGGTCTCTCTGGCTGCAGCATGGAAACTATGTTGGCCACGTAGTAAGAGACTGTGGGCTCAGATAGCCAGGCAGTCGAGAGGAAGGGCAGTGGGGGTGGTGGGACGTAGATACGATCTGGGGCTCAGGGGGAGGCTGACCATTCCCAGAGGTTTGCATCCCTGGATTTGGGGAAGAGTTCCCAAGGTCTCTTGGCTCTCTTGCTTTTTTCTAGGCCAGACAGCCAATTTTCTGCATGGAATGATCAACGTCTACAATTCTTAGTGATCACATTGGTCAGTTTTCACATGTCCCGCTTTGGTAAAACGTAATTTTCTTAACAGAGAATTTTATTGTCTCAACTCATATCATCTCAGCTCACATCAACTCATTTATGTGTTCTCAACTCGCTGCACTACCCTGCGACAGGGCACTCACCCTGGGTTCCCACGCAGCCGGGAAGCCTTGGGTAGGACTCCCCTGCTTAGGGTGGCTGGAGAGGCTGACGCCATTCTTCCCCTGCAGGTGGCTGACAACCCTGTGGCCATCGTGCCAGCCCAGTACATCTGCGCCCCCGACAGCAAGCACACGTTCCTTGCAGCCCCTGCACAGCTCCTGCTCGAGAAGTTCCTCCAGCACCACAGCCACCGCTTCTTCCCGCTCTCCCTGAAGAACCACGGCCACCCCGTGCTCTCAGTCGACTGCTACCTTAACCTGGGCTCTCAGGTAACGTTCAGAATCCATAAATCCGAGAAGTTCCTAACAGATGCGCTAGAATCCAGGACCTGGCATTGAAACTACTCATCTGCTTCATCTCAGGTCTTCACCCCACTTTACAGCTGATAAAATAAAGGCTAAGAGAGCTATGTGGTTTGCCTCAATGTAATAAGTTAGGAATCAAACCCAGTTCTGATGCCAAGAGATTTCTGATTCTCAAGTGAATTAATGAATAGACAAATTGGGATAAATCTCTTGGAATTGATTTTTAGGATATAGATTTGGAGACAACATTAAATATTGTTTCTGGCTCCCAAAACCTTGAGCTTGACCGAGCAGTATTTGTCAGATGCAAAGCCCTAGCATAACGTTGTTGAGTCTTGCATGGAAAACGATGTTTTCCCTTGGATTCCTTCTTTTTCAGATTTCCGTGTGTTATGTGAGTTCCAGACCCCACTCTTTAAACATCAGCTGCTCAGACTTCCTGTTCAGTGGCCTCCTGCTGTACCTCTGTGACTCGTTTGTGGGAGCTGGCTTTTTGAAAAAGTTTCATTTTCTGAAAGGTAACGTACCATACTCTTACGTTGGACCTTGACTTGACTCAAATGCCTGTCGTCACCTGGCCCCTCTGAGGAGGTGGCTTCTGGTCCTCGTCCTTATTTGCCAGTGGGTAAACTGAGAGGGAACGTGACTGCCCCAACCAGCAGGAAAGTACAAGAGGACTGGGATGGGATCCCAGGGTGGCTTTCTCTCCCCTATAGCTCTCGGGGTAGAGACGAGACACATCCCCTTTCTTTTAGGTGAATAGCAGATATTGCCAACTTTTTTGTTCCTTTTCAGTCCTTTTTTTTTTTTTTTTGCTTTTTGGTGAGGAAGATTGGCCCTGAGCTAATATCTATTGCCAATCCTTCTCTTTTTGCTGAGGAAGATTAGCTCTGAGCTAACATCTGTGCCCATCTTCCTCTATTTTGTATGTGGGATGCTGCCACAGCATGGCTTGATAAGCGGTGCATAGGTCTGTACCTGGGATTCAAACCTGCAAACCCTGGGCTACCAGAGTGGAGCACGTGAACTTTACCACTACGCCACTGGGCTGGCCCCCCAGTCCAGATTCTTAACCTCGGCACACAGATGCCCCAGACATTTCTTCCCTCTTGTCCTGGGGTGCTACATGCTCCCTTCCTCTTATTCTAATCTTCTCCTTCTGTAGCTGTTTCCATGCTAGCATGGTGCAGAGTGACAAACATTCATTGTATATGACTTAAAAAAATTTGTTTCCAGTCCAGCTGGGATCCCTAACCGGTCTTCACTTTCTCTGTTTGGTCTTCACTCTGGCCGCCCTCCCTAGCAGGTGTTTAGTAAGCAGCAACACTCTGTAAGGCCTTGGGAAATAGTAGGAGGTTTCCACAACAGTCTCTGCCCTCGGGAAACATTTCTTGGAAGGGGAGGGAGGACACTTAGGTAGGAAGGTAGGTTGGTAGATAGACCAATAGAATGAATGAATGAACAACCGTGAATGAGGTATTGATGGACACTAGGAGTCGAGAGGAGGGAGAGTTCATGTGACTGGGCAGACGGGGAGAGGTGGGAGCTGCATCGGGCCTGGATGGGTGGGAGGCTTGGATGGGGGAAGAAGGTGGGCGTAGGCTGTGAGGTGGGGTTGGGTGGGGTGGTTCGCACCAAGGCTGGAGCTCTGAATGCTTGGTTTGTGATCCGACCAGTCTCTCCCTCCAGTTCTCCTCCTCTGTTCACTTGATTGGCAACATTTCTCCTGCCTCCATGTTGTCTCACCTGCCAGACTTGCCAAATAATGTTTGCTCTCTCTATCTTGCTAAGATTATGAGGCATTCCAAAGCAAACGAGGTCACTTGGACATCTGTCTTCCCTTCCAAGCAGCATTGTATTTCATTATTTACAAGTAGAATCCAGGCAGTAGCTTTCATTTGGATAAGGTCACCTGTTTTCTTCACACGCCTCTGCCGTTGTCCACGCAGGTGCCACCTTGTGCGTGATCTGTCAGGACCGGAACTCACTCCGCCAGACGGTTGTCCGTCTTGAGCTGGAAGATGAGTGGCAGTTCCGACTGCGTGACGAATTCCAGACCGCCAATGCAAAGGAAGACCGACCGCTCTTTTTCCTGACTGGACGACACATCTGAGGGAGACACCAGCAGGTTTGCTGGAAGAGTGGAGCACTCAGAACCTCGTCCTGTTGAGGCTAAAGGAATTCCTAGAACCCCACAGGGTGTTTGAACTGGAATGGGCCCCAGAGACTGACTGTTGTGCAGCCCCCTTATGGTACGTGCCAGGGAGCCAAGGCCCAGAGATGGATAGAGATTTATGGAGAGCAAAGAGGATGAGTAGGTGGTGAACAGGAACACAGACTCAAGCCTGGGTGCTGGGCCAGGCCACGTTGCCCTGGGCTTTGTGGAAGTCCATTTTATGAAGAACAAAGTTTTGCCTACTGTCATGGCATCCATATGCTTCCGTGGACAAACTTGACTTTTCTCTTAGTTCTAAAGGGTCATTCTTGGCTTATCTTATAGAGGTGCCAGTGTTTCAGGCGATGGATATGAGTCAGCTGTGTAGGTTTCCCTATAACCTGCTACAAAGCAATATTACAAAAGAACATTTTAACTGTAAAGGCTGGAGATAAGAAAAAACTGAGTGAGTCATTTAATAAGAGTTATGAATTGTTTACAAGTTTGCTCTTTTAGAAGCTAGCCCAAAGGCATCAACTTTAATAAAGTAAAACAAATTGTTTTACTTCAGAGCAAAAACTATTCTCTTCAAACAGTATAGGATAATGCCCTCCCTCTTAGGGTAAAAGTGGAAAGAAACTTTCTTTAAAACTAAAAGGGTTTCAGGAAGGTAATTAGGGTTTCAGAGGTTGACCTTAAGAAACAGAATTTGCCTTACAAAGGAAAGAGGACCAAATTGCTTACTTGAAACAAATATGAAAACAACCAAAGTGATATATAAAATAGTTAATGAGAACTAGACTTCTGACTATAATTTATTGAAGCTCAGTTTTCAGTTCCTTAAATAGCTTGTTTTCTCTTGTGAATGACTGGTCCCTGACTGGAGAGGAAGGGGGACAGATGAGAGAATACAGCAGGGGTGTTCCATGATGCCCACACTTACCCTTGCCTGCCAGGATGTTTTTTAAACGAGCATTTTAGAGCGCCACCTACAGGCCAGGCATTGGGCTGGGTGTCGCACAGTTAGATCTTGCTTAATCCTTCCACAGCCTGTGTGGGTGCAGCGATTCTCCTATTGCAAAGATGAGAAGGTCGAGATGCAGAGAGTGCAGCTCCCCAAGCTCACATGGCTGGAAACAGCAGAACCACAAGTCAAACTCCTGGATTCTGGACTCCAGGGTCTGTCTTCCCCCCACCCCACACTGCTTCTGGAGGGGCCCATAACCCAAGGAGAAGTTTAATGATACTCACAAATTGATCATCAGAAAGCGTTCTCATACATCCACCTTAGACATTTATAAGCACTCTAATGGATAACAATCCAAGAAGAAATTATTGTAAAAGATGATGCCAAAGAGTTAATGTCAATGTTTTCTTCCCTAAGAAAAAAAGTCCATGAGTATAAAAGATTAGATCCATGTTTATAAAATGATTGCTTTGTATATGTCATTATTCCTATTTTGGAATAAAAACTTATTTTCTTTAGTTATTTCTGTCTTGTAAATAGTGGCTTCTGTGCTGTTCTTCCCATTTTATTAGTTAATTTAAACTTGAAAAAAAACCAATATTCTTGTTTGTTCCAGCCTTATAAATAAAACTTCTAATGCATTTATTGTTTCTTTGGTGGGAATTAATTGCATTGTTTTGAGAGGAAGTAGTGTGGCCAGTGATCTCCAGGGGCTGCCAGCTTAAAATCTCATGGCATGACAGAAAAGACAGTTTTGGAAAGGAAATAAGAGTAAATCCGTAAGAGTAGGGGTATATTAACATGTGGAGGAATCCCTGAAAGAGAAAAGGCAGGCAGAATTGGAAATGGAGGAAACAATAGCTCCAAGTGTGCAGAGAAGCCTGCCACATAGGACGATGGTGTTAGGGGCGCTTTGAGCTTCCGAGTGGCTGAAGCAGATGGCAGGGGGCCTGGGCATTTGTCAGGGGGATTGGCAGGGGGTAGTTGGAGCAGCTAGGCTGTTTGATTCCTCCCAGCCCTTCCTGCCACCCTCCCCATTCTCCGCCAACCTGGGCTCAGCAGCTGGCCGTGGCCAAGGCTGCAGCAGAGAGCGTGGAACCCAAGCAGGAAGAGGGCATGGGGGCCGGACCTCTGTGAAGAGGAGCTGCTGGCACTCCCCTCTCCATGGATTGTCCTGTCCCCCACAGTCGCTTGGACAGTTTATGGTAAACAGAATAAGCAAGCAAACAGGAGCTCCCTAGTACAGAAATAAATACACAACTAAAACTGATAAAAAAATATTAGGAGACATTATATAGTGAAAGATGATAAGCTCAATAAAGAGTTGATAAAGCAAACAGAATCCTATAAAACAAGGGTGATAAAACCAGAAAAAAATGAGATTATATTATATCCAGAACAAAAGGATCAATTACGGATCTGGGAAATGAAAACCTCAATGGGCAGATGAAATAGCCAGACAGAAAGCGGGAAGGTGCAGCTGAGGAAGTGTCTAAGAAGGGAGCAAAAGGAGCGTTTGTGGTCTGTGCTAACCCTTTACTTCCCTCGCGCACTGAGTGTCAGCCACCTGGCCCTCCTGGCCCTCCTTGGCCACTGCCAGGCAAGCACCCACCTCAGGCCTGTTGTTTCCTCTGCCCGGAATGCTCTTCCCCCTCACATCCGCTTGGATCTGTCCCTCACTTCTGCTGGGCCCTTAATACTCAAAGGCCACCTCCTCAATGAGGCCTTCGCTGATTGAGTACCTACTAATATAGAACACATTTTATTTGTTTACTTTTTCTTTTTTTTTCGGTCTATTCCCAGGAAAGTAGGAATTTTGTAAGACACATTCATTGCCGTGTTCCCAGAGCCTTGACTGTGCCGGCAAGAGGTAGGTGCTCGTTGAGTGAATGAATGACTCTCTTCTATCTTAGGTGATCCCTACATGGGAGCTGGAGGTGGGAGTGGTCAGCGATGGAGGAACTGAGAGAACAGGGAGTGAAGTGGGGCTAGAGTCCTTGACTTAACGGGGCAGGAGTGATTAACTGTTAGTGGAAAAGGAACATTTAAATATGTGTGTTAAAAAACATTGAGAGTAACTGCTAGAAGAAAAGAAACAGGATGTCTAACAGCTAAAATAGTAAAGGGAAAAGCAGCACCGACAAAATCAGTGTATCTGATATGAGAACAGGCTGGGGAGGGGAGAAAGGAGAGCTTGGTGAATAAGACAAGTAGATGGCAGGAACACATCCAAACACGTCCATAATTCAAGTCAACATAAATGGATTGAATTCACCTAATAACAGATTGAGACTCTCAGATTGGGTTAAGAAACTACTCAGAATAAGATGTAATGTTTAAAAAATAGGCAAGGAAATATTTTAAGTTCAAGTTCAAAGTTATACTCAAAGGAGTGATGATCACAAAACTTTGTAGACATGCCAACACTGCTATGAAATATATAAAGCAAGGGCTGTTAGAAATACAAGAAGAATGGGTAAATTGCATGATTATAAATGGAGACTAATACATCTCTTTCAGAAATAAAGACCACCAACAGAAATGAGAGTCGACTGACACAGTAACATGTTTGATCTAGAGTAATTAACCTTCAAAGAAGAAAGAATTCTTGGGTAACAAAAATTCCAGAAAATGTTCTGGAACCAGATAGTAGTGATGGTCACATAACATGGTGAATGTGCTACATGTCACCAATAGTAAATTTTATTTGTATTTTACCACAATAAACTAAAAACCATTCCAGAGCATTGGAAAATATGGAAACTTGAACTTCTGCAAGGCTGGTAATCAGTCACCCCAAAACCAGATAATAATAATAAATACACACACAAAAACTGTGGTTCTTTTTTCCTGAATACTTCAGCAAGTTAACTCTTGCAATAAAAGAGGAGAAATTATGGTACAAGAGCAACGTTTACCTGGATGGCTGAGTTCTCACGGCAGGAGGGGGCGTAGAATTTGAAACTGAGAGACTTGGGTTCCCACCTGATCCCTTTGCCAAGTCACCCAGCTCCCTGGAGACCGTGTTAGCTGTGAAATGAGTGTGGTAAATAGCAAACATTTTTGAGCACCTACTATGTGCCAGGCATTTTACTGGATGACTAATTGTCCATTATTTCATCTCACCAACACAATAACACTCTGAAGCAGATATCATTGGGACCATCTTACAGAAGGAGAAATTAGGGCTCACAGAGGTTAAATGACTTGTTTAAGATCACACAGCTATCAAGTGACAATAAATCTAGATTCATGCCTGTGGGTAGTGGGATAGTTCTCTAACATCACAGCTGCCTCCTGTCTGGAGTAATTTACTTCCACCAGGTGCCATGTATTAGAAGGCACTGTTGGCTCCTAAGGTTCTGTGCACAGAGTACTGATCCAAGATTTTCTCGTTGGGAGAGATGTTGGGTTGCCTGTGGGAGGTGGTGCTGGAGGTGGTGCTGGATGCGAGAAGATACCAAATATACTACATTATGTATCATTCAGAGTCTAGGTAGTCCCAGCATCAAGGTTTAGAAATCAGTTTTAATAAAGAAGTTTGCATGAAACCTCCCAGGTCTGGTTTCAGATTCTCCAAACAGTTCTTTTTTAAGGGAAGACCATGGACCAAGGGCACGTTCAATGTCCATGGCTCTCATTTCTTTTTCAGTCTACTGCTTAGGCAGACTTCCCAGCTCAGAAGGAATTAGCATTTTTGTTAACAAAACCTTTGGAAAGGCCAGTGCAGAGTTTTAAAGCCCTTCATGTCTAGAGAAGAAACACGAATTCTCTGGCTGCATTTGTCATTCGCCGAATACACTGTCCCAGTTTCCCTTGCTTTTCTTTCTAAAACTCTGGTGAGCACTATTTTTTCTCTCTTAGGATCTCTGGCCACTCCAACTCCGGTTCTTGCTCTAAAAAGAGTCTTTCCTAGGGTGGCAATCCACTTTACTAAGAAGGGTGAGTGTGGGTGGTGGTATGGGTTGAATTGTGTCCCCTAAAAAGATATGTTGAAGTCCTAACCCCCAGTACTTCAGAATGTGACGTTATTTGGAAATAGGGTTGTTGCTGATGTAATTAGTTGAGATGAGATCATGTTGGAGTAAAGTGAGCCCCTAGTCCAGTATGACTGTTGTCCTTATAAGAAGAGGAGAGAGACAGAGAGAGAACGTCATGTGACCATGGAGACAGA